TACAAAATTTGTGGTTGTGATTTCACTTTTTGACTGTGAACATATTTTCTAAACTTTTTTCAAGTCAATATCATGACTGTAACATGTCTTGCATAATAACTCAAATTTTACCATCATTAGCAACAGAATGATTCTTTTGCTTTCATTCTAGACACATCATAGTTTAGTTGGTGATAGTGTTACAGGGGGCATAATTAACACTTTGACTGCGACGAGCGCGATATACGGTACACGCATGCATGTCCCAAACTGCAATGTGCGCCATATATGGCACACGCTTAAAAAATTTAATTTTTAAAAAAAGCTCTTTAAAATATCAGCCAGATCATAAACTTGTGAAAAATATGATGGATAATTGACAATAATGTTTTCAAAAACCTATATGAATGTTGTGCAATCAAATCATAAGAATCTTAGTTGGAATGTAGCCTGAAATAATGAGTGGGTATGAGAAAGAAAAAGTATTAAATAAAGGAGGTTATCCTGTTCCAATATGTTGAAAATCATTTTTTAGGTATTGGTATGGATTATAGCAGTAGAAAAATAAGTATTAGTCATTCTAAATTTGCCTAAGCTCACGACACAGAAACAGAATGGCACTGTAAAAAGCAAGATAAACAGTGATACGGATTCCGAGTACTGGGCTAGCAATTGATAGTTACTTTTCTAGCTTTTCGTCTCACTTTAGCACCAACTAACTTCCTTTTTAGGCTGCCATTAGGTGGTCAAAGTTACCCCATTAGGGAGCAGCGCCCCCCATTTGCAAACTATGACACTTTTTTCAAATTTGTCTTTTGCATATGTAACTAGAAGAGTTCTACTACAATGCATCAAAACCTGGAGTTATTTTGCCAAAAAATAAAAAATTGGAGGGGGTACTCTGACAGGCTTTAAAAAATAGCTTTTTTTGTGGGTCACATTTTAATTTTTTTAACCTATTAGATATGCAAACTTTTTAAATCTTTCTATTGTGTTACGTAGCCTCAGTATTAGGTCTTTAGTGCCCATTGACAAAATTTTTCTATGTCAAATGGTTTTTGAGTTTTGGGGGTTTTTGTTAAAAAACCAAAAGTGGTCAAAGTTACCCCAGTTTACGGTATGTTGGCTTGATCAGTATGCAGTGAAGCTTGTCCAGAAATCAGTTGCGATGAGTTCCCACCAAAAAAATGTAAACATCAAGTTTACGGGAGCGCTGCCGTAGCCCAAAAATTTGACTCTTAAATTAGCCCAAAAGCCAATGCCAACCCTCTACATGCAATAGAAATAGCATAACACCTATGCAGCTGTTCTAACTTACCTCATCTTGCCACACCAGCTTGAAAAAAGCAATGATTCAGCCCACAAGCTTATACTCCAAACGGATTACGCCCAATAGCTCTTGCACCAATGATTTAAGCCCATACCATCACTTCTTACAAATGCCGTAAGCCACAGGGTCCGCAGACCGCACCAGACTGCCATAAATGGGAACGGCCCTGCACCGGACTGTCGCATCACCTTACCCACTTCGCAGTCGTAAGCCCAGCCCTGACGCTCACCAGCATCTTTTTCCTCAACATTCACCCCCTTCTCTCCACCTTTCCGCGAAAGGGTTAGGTTAGGTTAGGTTAGGTTAGGTTAGGTTTGGTTAGAATTCTTCCGCAAGCTGGTACCAAAAGCAGGGGGAGCAGGGGGTAAGCGTGGAGGTTTAGCCTCCAGAAGAACGGATAGGCTGGAGAGGTAGCATTGTACTGATAGCACTGTGGCGCAGGGCGTTCTTTATCGAAAGTGGGGAAGGGGCTAGGCTGCATGGAATAGAAATATTTAGGGGTTTAGCATGTGGGTTACGACCATTGTATTTGTGGCCTGCAGCTCATTGGCTTGCTGGTTTACATCCATGAACGGGTTTGGTCCCTGTGGCTTTCAGCAAGTAATCATGTTGGCTAATTTGCTCTGCAGCAGGCTTACGCACGGAGAGAAGTATGAAAATTATTCTGGTATTGGGCAAAGCTGGGCTATTTCAGTCGTCCCAAGTTTACGATAACGTAGTTGCGGTCACATTAGAGTGGTCAGACTGCATTATCACATGTTCAGTTGACACTTGCTATACAATCGGACTGTTTTTAGGGTAAAATTAGTTATTTGGAGTAACATGTGCATGCAACCTTGTAAATAAGTTCGTGGCTTGTAAATAGTTTTTCATTACTCAGCGTAAATGGCTTTTCATTAAAAATTACCCGGCAACGCATCTTAATAGGGTAAACGCGGTATATTCCGTCATAGTAGGTAATTCAGTCACCTCTTTAGTTTTTCCTTTATATTAAGCTTTGTTTTAGTTCCATGCGTTCCTTGATGGTTGAAATGGTGACGTCATACATTTGCGTGTCAATCTAATGCCAAAGCACTAGGTCTTGGCCATCTAGTGGGAAAATATTGAGATCCAAAGAGAGACGATGCACACTACCCAGTGAGATCATCGAAAAATGTGTCAAATTTGACAGTTGACCTTGCTCTACCAAATAGTGAATAACTGTTTGTATAGGAAGAATATTATGGTTTGAGACTTTTAAATACGTCTGTGAATATATTAGGAATCCTTTAAGTATACTTGTATTCGCTGATTTCAAGTGGTAAATAAATTAATAGGGTAAACGCAGTATATTCCGACATCGTAGGTAATTCCGTCACCTCTCCAGCTTTTCCTTTATATTAAGCTTTGTTTTAGTTCCATGCGTTCATTGATGGTTGAAATGGTGACGTCATACATTTGCGTGTCGAAATACTGCAAAAACACTAGGTCTTGGCCATCTAGTGGGAAAATATTGAGATCCAAAGAGAGACAATGCATGCCACGCGGTGAGATCATCGAAAAATGTGTCAAATTTGACAGTTGACATGGCTCTACCAAATACCGTAAAATGGGGTAACTTAGACCGACGGGGTAACTTAGACCACTTTTCGTTTTTTTAACAAAAACCCCCACAACTCAAAAACTATTTGACATAGAAAAATTCTGTCAATGGGCATTAAAAGCCTAATACTGAGGCTACATAACACAATAGAAAAATTTAAAAAGTTTGCATATCTAATAGGTTTAAAAATTAAAAATGTGACCCACAAAAAAAAGCTATTATTTAAAGCCTGTCAGAGTACCCCCTCCAATTATTTTATTTTTTGGTTAAATAACTCCAGGTTTTGATGCATTGTAGTAGAACTCTTCTAGTTACATATGCAAATGACAAATTTTAGGAAAGTGTCATAGTTTGCAAATGGGGGGCGCTGCCCCCAAATGGGATAACTTAGACCACCTAATGTCAGCCCTGACGGGGTAACATAGACCGGCTTGGAAGTTAATATAAAATTACCATATATAACATATTTTATGTTTGACAGCCTATTTATGTTTTTTCTTTATGTTTCAGACTCTACAGAGTCTTATATATGGTAATTTCAACTTAATTTCCAAACCAGTCTATGTTTCCCCATCAGGGCTGCCATTAGATGGTCACATTTCGCCCATTTGGAGGCAGCGCCCCCCATTTGCAAACTATGACACTTTCCTCAAGTTTGTCATTTGCATATGTAACTAGAAGAGTTCTACTACAATGCACCAAAACCTGGAGTTATTTAGCAATACGACTCACCACGTGTCAAATATTGCCACACAAAGTGACGGAATATAGGGATTTGGTAGGTTTCCATTCTAAAGGCTTTTTAATAAATATGGCAACATTTTGTGACGTTTCATCGTTGCTGATGCGTAGTGAAGTGTTTTGAGAGTCATGTGAAGGCAACAGAACTTACGTAACGCATACGGTTTTTTTATAGTTTTTCATTTCTCGATGCGTCCTTAATGTGTCGGTATATACCGCGTTTACCCTAGATGATCAAGTTGAGAAATGGATTTAGACACATGAAAACTAATTCCGTCACAACTTGAAGTGGACACACACAGATCGTTCCAAGCTGTGTACAAAAATTAAAATTTGCTTAATTAAAAGCTTAATAGTTGCTAATTAAAAGCGTAATTAAGTAGTGTTCAATATTCATTAGTGTTCTTATTCAAAGCCGTGTTGTATTCCAATACAGCTCACACAGCAAATGGAATTCGAACACGTGGATGACAGCATTACGTATCAGTAGAATTTGAAGCGCGGACGTAATACGCCTCAGTAACTTTCACTTCCACATTCGCGGCCTCACCACGTGCTGAATATTGCCACACACAGTGACGGAATATAGGGATTTGCCGCCGATTGGTAGGTTTCCATTCTTAAGGCTTTTAAATAAATATGGCAACATTTTGTGACATTTTGTTGTTGCTGGCGCGTAGTACGGTGTTTTGCGAGTCAAATAAAGCAAACAGAACTCGAGTAACGCATACGGTTATTTTTTATAGTTTTTCATTTCTCGATGCGTCCTTAATGTGACAGAATATACCACATTTACCCTATTACCCGGCGACGCATACGCTTAGGGCTTAAAAACCCATATATTGGCGTCTGGTGACGATGCATCCACCCTCTGCACCATGGGGAGGACTCTCAGACCTCAGTCTCCCAATTTACCCTGCCCATCCCTTATTAGCCCCTTTGATGGTACAATAAATTTATAATAGTGACAGACTGACAGAATACCTAGTAATGCTAGTACTAATCAGAAACATCTTCTACAATCTACGTAAAACATTTTTTCTTCAAGTAGCAAATAAATACACATAAAAGGTACTATTTTAGTTGCGCTTGCAAAGTTGCAATTGCAAATTGCAATTTTTCCAAAAATCAAGGGCCGATTAAATACCTATACATAACGTAACTAACACAAGTTAACTTAGTAGTTAAGATTGAAAAACTAAAATTACTTCACAACCTTAAAACAATGAATACGTAATCACAACTTAGACAATGATAAAATTGATGCTAGATGATAACCTTATAATGCAAAATCAAGCACTCTATCAAATATGCGTAAGTAAATAAGTAATAACATTCAAACGTAACAAACCTAACAATAGTACTAACCTTGATTCACCCTTTGTTCACGTGTTCCAGCTACCTGCACTGTTGATCATTGATGGCCGAAATGAGTTTTGCCGATCCGTTTTTCAGGAAGCGCAGGAGTGCATCACCAATTTTGTGCACCAAACAGCCTCGAATGGAACGCCTTGCATATTTCCGTAAGATCAACAACCATTCGCGGATTAAGCCTGCCGTCAGTAACCAGCCCATGCCATCACCTTGTTTTGAATATTATAGGCTTTACACCACCATACAGGGGAGCGAGAGGCCTAGCGTTTAATTCTCGTCCACAACCAAACGTTGCAACTTCTTCTTCTTCTCCTTTTCGGGGTGTCTACACTGGGTAGACTTAAAGCCACAGGTCGACCTCGAAGACGACCGCTGGGCCTGAAAGCTTGTATTGTAAACGTTGCATCGGGTGCGCAGCCGTAGAACAGCCTGCCCTTTAGCAGGCTTACGCACGGAAAGGAGGATGAAAAATATGCTGGTCTTGGGCAGGTCTGGCCTCTGGCATGCATCCCCGTTGCATAGAGAATTTCGAAACATCACTTCATACCTTGACTATAGCTCAGAGGGTTGCCAGATGGCCTTTTTTTCGAGGACAAAAAGGCCAAAAATGCCTTCAACTCAATATAAACTAGTATATTTGTAGGTTCCGATACAAAAACTATAATTTCATTTTTTCGCTCTTTTTAAATTTAATAAGGAAGTACCGATATCATATATTGTTAAGCCAACGCAACTGAAAAAAAAGTCAGTCACGGAATTTGTCCGGAAATAAGACCATCTGGCAGTCTGCATGCTCAAACTGTAACCATCGAACAACCGACTGCGACCAATCATCCTAGCTCATTAGGGGAACTGCTTAAAACCTTCATTGCACCACCAGACTACGGATCAAATATTACTTCCGGGGCATCGCGAAATTACGTATCTTTTGGCTCATATTATCTGGGATTAGCCGATTAGGTTACAGATAGCATAGTTCTCTTCCAAATCGATCGTACTTCGCAGAGTGGGCGTTCGACCATGGGCTGATTCGATGCACCGGCGCGATACGGACGGGTTGGCGGCAGACATCATTTTCACTGCAGATCTCCTACGAGCTCTGTCCGTGTGTTGCAGAATTTTTTCGCGCATTGGCAGAAGATGCAAGGCCATACTACGGCCGACTTCTTTCCTGCGGGCTGATTGATCTACTTCAATTGATGTGATCTGTCTGTTGGCTGACTACTGATAATGTTGCAGTCCAGCTGAAGTGTTATAGGCTACGTTCTTGAGGGAAAAGATCATGATAGTCCATTCGAAACACGGTAGTGGTGGTCTCCGATAAGCGTCTCGTTTTTCACACGTAGATATAATTTTATTTGCAAGTCACTTTCTGCGGACTTGACATATTGAAGCGGACATATTTGTTTTGGCTAGATGTGCCTCATACGGGTACGCAGCCGTGCACCACTAAATTTGTGCACCAATCAGCCTTGAAAGGAACGCCTAGCATATTTCAGGATGACCACCAATTAGCCGCGGATCAAGCCATCCGTCACTAACCAGCCCTTGACATCATATTGCTTTAAATATTAGGAGCTTTACGCCACCACATTCTGAAGCGAATAATCCAGAGAGTAATGGTTATGCACCACTGAACGTTGCATTGAATCATCACTTCATACCCTGACTTTAGCTCGAACTGTAACTTGCGGACAACTGACTGTGACTGTGACCAACCAGCCCATGTCGCCAGTGGAACTGCATGCATCCTGCCGTGCACCACCAGACCGTCACTTTTAGCTCCACATCCGGGGTTAGGTTTCATAAAGCATAGTTCTGTTCCAAACTCTATCGTCCGCCGGCGAGTGACTTCCGCAGCTTCGCTAAATTACGTAACTTTTAGCTCACAGCATCTGGGGTTAGGTTCTAGATAGCATAGTTCTGTTCCAAAATTTATCGTCGTACGATGCGAGGCCGTTCGACCGTGGGCTGATTCGACACACGGGACAGATACGGACGTCTCCGGCGCGCTCCGTCCGGGTGGTGTAAATTTTTTTCGCGTGTATGCAGACGACGCTGGGCCATACGACGCAAGGCTTATTTTCCTGTGGGCTGATTGATCTAATTCAATTGATGTGATCTGTCAGGTGGCGTGCGGCTGATAATGTTACAGTCAAGATGTGTTGTAGGCTACGTTCTTCATGGAAGGGATCATGATAGTCCATTCGAAGCACGGCAGTGGTGGTCTCCGACAGGCGTCCCGCGACATGTAGCAGGCAAAGAGCAAACCGTAGCGGCATAACCTCATCTTAGGCAACACTGCATTCACACGCTAGCTCACTAACTTCCGCGGCCAGTGCTACCAGCGCTAGGTTTAAAAACCTATAACTAGTTTTTTTTTGTTTCCAGCTTGGTTCCTAGGTTTTACATTTACGAATTGATCTAAATCTTAGTTTTTTCTTTGAGATTGGTGCACTGAAAGCAAAAATCAATATAACAAAGTACGTTTAAACCCAATTAACATTAAATAATTAAAATAATATCACTATATATAGCATATAATAGCACATATTAGCATGCATAACTAACTAATGATGTTCTGCGATGTTAAGAATAGGCAACAGGCCTAAGGCCTATTAACTGCTGAAACCGATATTATTATAATTGTTATTTTTAATATTGTTGTTGTCTTATAGTAGTTATTGTTAGTATAATTGTTATTATTATTATAATAATAATTGTTTATTGTCAGGAAAGTATAATACTACATGTTCTAATTTCTAAATGCATGTTCGTACAGAATGCAGACTGTACTGTCGCGTGCGTGTCGGTGAAAATTTAAAAAAATTGTAAAAAATAAATAAACAAATAAAAATAAACGAAATAATATAAAAAAGCGAAATAAATAAATAAAACAATAAATCAAGTAATAGGGAATAACTGATCAATAAAATTTGATATATGTTAAATTGTAATTTTTGTAATTGTAAAATGTTCATAGTACAAGTTCGTACAGAATACGGATTGTACTGTCGCGTGCGCGTCGGTTACAGACTAAAAGTTTAAAAAAAATAAAATAATAATTAAATATTGATAAAATAAATTATTAATAATAAATAAATGAATAAATACAAATATAAATAAATTAAAATAATATATGTGATAATAAATAATGGAAAAATGCTGTTCAATTTAATTGGAAATATGTTAAATTGTAATTTGTGTTTATCCCTATATAGGTATCAATGCTCATTCGTATGCGAACAATAAGGATTTATTACTATGAATTACATGTTAGAAATCTAGGATTTTTCATTCAAGTCTAGATTTTTTCGGAGGCATAATCTAGGTTTTTCAAAAAAAATAGTCGCACGCTGGCAGCACTGCTTCCGCCCGTTACTCGTTAGCTCGGTCACTTTACCACCGGCCTTTGCCCGAACAGGATCTCGGTAAGCTGCGCAGCTTGGGCTCATTGCCTTCCAAATTTTGCTAGTTGTGTTTCACTCATTAAAGCTGTGACGGATGTGATTTAGGGAAAGTGTAGCTGTGTAGGATTTTAAAGTGTCATTAAATGCCAGCCTTAAGCTCACGTGTTAACTTGCTTACTTGTCCAACTCAAATCGTGTGTTCAATGTTAACCGAATTCCACTTCACAGCTCGTCAAGCCTCGTGGTTGCTGCCCCTGTAACATCACTGCTACAACGCGTGCAACTCCACACGTGCTCCCCTGTACCATACGTGCTTCCCTGTACGCCACGTGCTTCCCTGTACGCAACGTGCTTCCCTGTACGCCACGTGCTTCCCTGTACGCCACGTGCTTCCCTGTACGCCACGTGCTTCCCTGTACGCCACGTGCTTCCCTGTACGCCACGTGCTTCCCTGTACGCTACGTGCTTCTCTTAACGTCACGTGCATCTCCACGTACATCCACCACTCCACGTGCTCCTGACACCTCGTCATCCTACCTACGTGCTCGTGTCTCCTAGCTCGTCTCGTGGCCGCCATCATCACATCATCAAGCAGGTCACGTGGGCTTAATATCGCTTGGATCCAGATAAGTTAACTGTTCATTTTAGCCAACCAATTATTATCTCGCCAGTTCTTCTTATTTCAAACTATCTCATTCAAAACCTAAATGCGGATGCCAGCGTTGTGAGCTTATTTAACCATAATAAACATTATTGGATCTCATTAACATTTCAATTCTTGGCCACGAACGTTCTAAGATGGAGCAGAATTAAATTAAATGTGAACGGTTAAAAATAAACCCCCACATTTTTGGTGACCCCTACATTCCTTCAAATAGCGTTGAAGACATCGTTTCATAAGTCGGCCATAGAAATTGATGATCCATCGTCAACATTATATTGGTCATAACTTAGCAAATCGCAGTGTTATTCCCTAATAGGCTTCCTGCATGCTGTGATGGCTGATAAAATTTGGTTGAGCATGACCTTGCACTTTCTCTGATGTCCGTGTCTAGCGAATGATTATTTAACAGGAACTAACATTAATATTATTACTCGCAACTATTTTATACTTTCAGTATCCATTTTACAGTTGATTTGTGTCTATTTAAACAACTAGTGCTCATTTCTATAATTCGTATTTTTACAACCAGAATCACCATTGCATTTTAAATTTGCGACGCAGTTTGTGAGCGAGCGCTATAATCTTTTAGACATGCATAATCAAGCAGAAGAAGCTACCGTTGTAGCGCATCAAAATTTAACGCACCAGAGTGGAATTATCTTACCACCGTTTACTGGCTCTTCTGTGGAACAATGGCTTAAGTTATGCAACTTTGCGTTTAACGCTTACTCTGTGAACAACATAGATCAGAAGTGCTACTTAGTTCTATTAGCTCTCCCGATGGAATTGCAGTGTGAATTGGCCAACCTAATAGTTGATGCGCCCAACGTTGAAGACAAATTTGAGCTGTTGAGTGATAATTTAATCAAACTCACATACGTACCCGAGAGCACACGGATGAAATCGCTGCTAAATCACACTTCGATGGGCGATAAAACTCCTTCAGAGTACTTGCGTCACCTTAGGCAGGTTGCAGGCACCTCGCAAGACAAAGATTCTCCATTGCTGAGAACGATTTTCTCTGAAGAAGTGTTCTCGTTCATACGTACCGTAGTCGCCCATATGACAGTTCAGTCTCTCGATTGTCTTGCCGAAACAGCAGACAACATTCACTTGGCGATAAGAAGCGACGCAAACCTTAATCATTTGACCGCAAACTTTGATCCCAACGATCCTTCACTCTCCGGCTTACATTTGCAGTCTCAGCAGAAGCATGCATCGCCACTCTTGCCTAACTCGGACTTGGCTACTTCAATTCATTCTCTTCAATTAGATGTCAAGAAATACATGGCGCAGAGTCAAGCAAATCAAGATTCTTTGCGTGAATTAAACAAAATGCTTAGGACCCTTTCCGCAGCAATTGTTCAATTACAGCAGCAAATAACTACCTTGCAGCTGCAGATGACTTGCAATCCAGTTCGCAATAACGGTTACCCCTCAAGAAGCTCTAGCAGACCAAGCACGAACGACCCAAGCATGTGTTACTATCATGCAAGATTCGGCAACCAGTCCCTCCGCTGTCGAAAGCCTTGTTCGTGGGTCAGTGAAACTCGCAGTAACGATTCGGGAAACCAATAGGCTGTGATGCAGCTAAAAATACGACCAAGCCGCACAATACAATATAAAACCAAGCCTAACATTACAAAATACGACCAAGCCGCTCATTACAAAATACGACCAAGCCGCTCATTACAAAATACGACCAAGCCGCTCATTACAAAAAAAACATTTTCCAAAATGAAGTATGTGAAATCTAACTATCAAGCAAATTTGTCTGATGATCACTTGAAATTAATTCTTACAATTGGCTCATCTAATCTGAAACCGGATTTTAATGAAATTTTGAAGTCAAAACGACAGCATCATTCGTCACTCTAATCTGGTTAAATAAAACTAAAGACAGGCATCTATTTAGTTTACCCTGATTTTTTACAAAATATGTTTTAAATTTTCCATGGTTATACCTTAATATTTAGGCAAATAAAATTACTGGCACTTTTTTTCTTATTCATTCGGCCCGCATAAATATTGGAAATATATAATGTGGCCCGCAGTGTGAAAAGTTTGGAGACCCCTGATCTAGGCGTAAACGTACTGAAGTGCAAGATGATCGATAACTTAAACCCAGCTGTTTGTCAACGTTGACACTCTTGCATGCTATGACGCAAACCGCTTTAGCAACGTTTTCAACTGTAGCAACTAATCTCTTTTAAATATAATTAACGAATTTCTTGATCTTACTTCACCCTCATATCAATTCTTCATGCAGTCAATTGGACCTATAAAAAAAATCAGCTTCATCTTATTCTCATATTGATCAAAAATTTTCAGCTTGTGAAAAATGTTTTTTAGCGCAACAATGCCATAGCTGGATTAAACCCAAATTACTCATGACCGTTCTAAACTTCTAAGTCCCGAAGAGAAATAACAAATACTATCACGTAAAATTCCACAACAGAATAGACACCGTGACTATTGACCGACTCAAAACCGCTCATTTGCAAAAAGACATTCTCTCTTGAACGCTCACGCGACCCGGAAACTAGTACTAATCCTTACGCCAGTCGACAATCATTTATATCCCGTGCCAATCAATCGAGCATCTCCTGCGGCATCACATCCAGCTGAGACTCGGAGCACTAGTAAACCTTAGACCCCTCGGGTTGAGGGGTCCTAAGCTAACTGGTACTGCTGAGACCCGTGCACGTGTATCATTTTCTGATCAAACGACCAAAAACATGCAATTGTTTTTATCGACCAGACGAGAAAGACTCGCTCGTCGCCCTGCTCAATATAATTAATCACTCTTTTCACCTTCCTCCTTAATCTCTTTTTTTTTCTTTGAAAAAAAAATTGGAATGATGTAGCGAATCTCGCTACAAACTATATTAGTGTTCGAATTAGCGACTTGAAGCAAGCTCTGTACAAACCCTAGCGGCATAACCTCGTCTTAGAAACATTGCATGCACAAGCTAAATCTCTAGCTTCCGTCCGCTAGCTCGGTCTTTAATTACCACTGGCCATTGCCCGAACAAGACCACGGTAAGCTGCTCAAGCTTGGGCTCATTGCCTTCCAAATTTCTCTAGTTGTGTTTCACTCAATAAAGTTGTGGACGGATGTGATTTAGGGAAAGTGCAGGGTTTTAATTGCAGTCATTGATTGCCAGCCTTAAGCTCACGTGTTAACTTGCTTACTTGTCCAACTCAAATCGTGTGTTCAATATTAACCGAATTCCACTTCACAGCATAACACGTCAAGCCTCGTGGTTGCTGCCCCTGTAACATCACTGCTACAACGCGTGCAACTCCACGTGCTTCCCTGTACCCCACGTGCATCTCTCAACGTCACGTGCCTTTCTTAACGCAACGTGCATCTCGCCACTCCACGTGCAACTCCATGTACGTACATGATGTACTCCTAGCTACTGCACGCACCACGTGCTCCTGACACCTCGTCATCACCACATGCTTTTGACACCTCGTCATCACCACGTGCTCCTGACACCTCGTCATCACCACGTGCTCCTGACACCTCGTCATCACCACGTGCTCCTGACCCCTCGTCATCACCACGTGCTCCTGACACCTCGTCATCACCACGTGCTCCTGACACCTCGTCATCACCACGTGCTCCTGACACCTCGTCATCACCACGTGCTCCTGACACCTCATCATCACCACGTGCTCCTGACACCTCGTCATCACCACGCGCTCCTGACACATCGTCATCACCAAGAGCTTAATTTTGCTTGGCTCCAGATGAGTTAGCTGTTCGTTTCAGGCAATCAGTTTTTATCTCGCCAGTTCTTCTAGTTTCAATCTATCTTATTAAAACCTAAATGCGGATGCCGACGTTGTGAGCTTATTTTACCATAATAAACATTATTGGATAATATTATCATTTCAATCCCTGGTCATGAACGTTTTGAGATGGAGCGGAATTAAATTTAATGTATACGGTTACAAATAAAGCCCCACAGGGTGGCTCAGTGGTTACAAGTCAGAGTGCCAGGATAGGAACAGAATAGTGGTGCTGCTTCGATCACAGCTATGTGCCCCAGTTTCTGCCTCTTTCTGGTCAGATTCTGCGAGGGGGCCGAGTGATAAGGCTAATCGAAGTTGGAGCAGTGAGTTGCGTGTTTAAGACCGCCTTATGCTGTGAATGTTCTGCGATATTAAGAATTCGAGACAGGCCTACAGCCTAATGAACGCGGAAACCACTACTATATTTTATATAATATATGTGATACCGAAGCTTGATAAAATTATGATTACAGCCTGGATCACAAGATCTCTTTTTTAATCTCTGCCACTAAGCAATGTACGTATTTTCTCTGTCTCAATGCCGATGTCATGAGTAAGGTCTGCATTATTAATTGGCGTGCATTGTTACAAGACACTCTCAAGCAAAAGTGACCAAGAGTTTTATCAAAACCACAAGCTCTTTGCTATGGTAAATCAGACGAGTATAAAATTCCAGAAATCCGTAAAATTTCTGATAGGTAATTTTTAATAATCCGGTCGCAAGGTTGATGTTCTTTTAATCGTTTCCAGCATATAACGTCCACGCTTATTCTGTGAAATTTGTACAAACACGCGTACACACGCGCGTCCTTATGGCGAATGTCAAATTTTTAAAACACGCGCATAATCTAAATTTAAACACACGCACACACTCTTGTCAATATTGCACACACTTATAATCAAAATTGCAAACAAACTTACACTCATGTCAAAATTCACGCTCTCACGCCTATTAACACAGCTGAATGATCAGGACAAACTACGGAGGAACTATCTGCAAAAAAATATGTCTTGAATATCTGACGCACACCTTAGGTTGTTATATTAGTTAAAATTAATCGCAAAATCATTAATTTCTGCCTAAATCGGATTTTTGAGTCTCAAATGATAATTGAAAGTAAAAATTTTGGCCGCGTTTATCATCCTAACTATTGTAGAGCTTTGTGAACTACCGAGTTTTTGTATGCGATCTTACGGTATGACGCCGGGACAATGTTAAATTTGACTTATTCGATTCACCTATAATACTAATCAATATTAAGTTTTGAAATAATAATTTAACAAATTCACAACCGATAAATTGCTGCATTCTATCTGTGGAAATTAATGTAGCCTCGTGCAATCGTACAGTATAAAAACTTGTTGTGAGATCTCTCTTCATCAATCATGACGGGACTATCCGTGACGCTTAGTTTGCAATTTATTACATACAGGAGTGAAAGTCGATGGTCGGAATTTTGTCAATTACAGTTCTTCAGTGCAAAACTTTATTAAATTTTACATCAGTATATTTCTATTCATAAGAAGCTTATTTTTTTCGATATCGAATATTTACTCTTTTATTACACGGGAAAAATTATTTTGAATTACCATAACTTCATTTTTATTAATTTGTTGAAGTTGCGGTTTCAGATTTCGTAATCTGAAATTTGCGTTGAATTTAATTTGTTGAAGTTGCGGTTCAGAACACCAAAAAGTATTTTAGTGATAAAATCTGTATTATTATCAGGAAAATTCAGAATAAAAAATAAAGTGTTTGCTCTATTTGCCTCACATTGGGAAACCAGGGCAAGCCAAGCATTACAAATATAGTAGACATAAGACAGTTTTATTGCAATCTATATACATACAAAACTTGCGATCAAAGTGATTAATATATATTGCAATACTCTGCTTGCAATCACCACTTCATTGCATTTTATCTTTAGTAGCAATTATGTTGATTGCGTCAATGATCGACCTCCCGGCTAATTTCCCAATGATTCTCCTAAGTCTTCAACGCTGCTGGTCCGCGTTGTTCTTGAAGGATACTAGCGGGTGACTAGCTTATTCTAGTGGGGACAATATAGTCGTTAACTTAGTGTTCTCTTGACAAAGCCTTTTTCTTATTACGGTTAAAAAATTGGTAGTTCTTTTAACTCGAGGCTTCAGAGCAGAACGTTTTACTTGACCACACACTTATTGCACTCTGCTACTCACTTGATGCTTCTAAATTAGTAATACGTACACTAATCAATCTTCACGTTCACTTAAAAATTAAATTTCACGCCAATTTACTACATGAATATAAAATCAAAAGATAAATTGTCGAATACCATACAGGAAAGACCGATGAGCTTGGCTGTCTGGCTGAGTCGTGACGCTGGAATGAAGCTAATATCAATCGAAGAAAAATATCGTTGGAGAGGGGAGCGCAGCCGTGCACCACCAATTTTGTGCACCAATAAGCCCCGAGTCGAACGCCTTGGATCTCTCCGGACCTACACCAATCAGCCGTGCACCACTCGGTTTTGTCCTCTTCCGGCCTTGACCACCACCAGCCGTGCACCACCAGGCCGCGGATCGAATATGACTTCCGGGCATCGTTAAATTACGTAATTTTACGTTCACCGCATCTGAGGTTAGGTTTCAGATAGCATAGTTCTGTTCCAAAATTTATCGTCCTTCGACAAGTGGCCGTTCGACCGAGGGCTGGTTCGACCCACGGCATAGATACGGACGGCTTGGAGTGTTGAAGGCTACGTTCCGGAAGGCAGGAATCATGATGGTCCATTACATCCAGGGCAGTGGTGGTCTTCGGCAGGCGACCCGTTGGAGAGCAGTCGTGTGAAAGTTTGAGTAAACAACTGATTTGCATAGAGGTGGAAAAATACACTCGCCGCAAAAACTGAAGTTCAAGTTTTTTGGTGTGGTTTCTATCAACGAGTAACAAAATAAATTTTCTCCAAAAAGCTTTCGAAATGAACATGGACTCTAATCTTAAGCAAAGTCACGAGTTGATATGATTTGCTACATAACGTTATTAGTTTTTAGTTGTGAATCAAACTGTTATGGCTTAGATTCGATACAAGATTTTACAATGTAAAAGCATTGACTACTAATTAACGAGTGGTTGCCATTGCATCGCCGAAGAGAGGTGGCGGGCAGGGATATGAGGTAATGTCAAATTTGAGGGAGGGGTTACCGTGGGCATTCAAATGTGTAGAATCAGCACATTTAAAATTTATTCAAGTTGATAACATTAGAATTACATGAGTTGTTTGGTTGTTGGCTATTTCAGTGGTAAAAACTATGGTGTGGAGAATGCATTCAACAATTTATAGTTTACCATGCTTTGTTACCACCATTTCTAGGTGCATAATTTCTACTGAAGGTGCCCAATAATGTACATTAACAATCAAAAGGAAAATACTCATTATGCCAACCTATGTTTATGGTCTTGAAAGTCTACCCTAAATTAACATCGATGTCCGTCCTCTTCGGATGGACGTCACTAATCGATTCATTAGGTTGACAAACACGCTCATAAGTTAGCTGCCCGTTACCTTGGTGATTATTTATTCATTAGTTCGATCCCGCAGCATCAGGCTCATGATCGGCAGTTGTCATCGTCTACTCACTCTCAGAGGTCATGGGAAACTCACCTTCACAAATTTTTTAAACTATTTCGGCACAAAAATTATAATGGATATTCCTAACTCCCACTGTTCAGGCCGATTTGTAGTATATATTATTTCCTGCACACTACTGGCCAGTTATTGCCCAGTTGAAGTGAATGGTGTTATCCTGATTATCCGACAATAACGAGGGTCGAGGATTCTGTTGCTCAATATATAATTTAATTCAATATGGAGAGCGTTTTGCGTGGATTTAATGTTTCTCGTGTGAGCAAAGTTTTTGTATGCAGCATGTGTGTTGTGGGTTATATATTTCTGCTATATGGCAAAAAATTATTCATTGAAAACAATCAGTCTTCTTATGCTTTTCTTATGTCAATTCAGTTAGGCGAGTGCGCTCTGCCATGGTGGGATGGAGCTCTGGACAACTGCAGTGCGATTATCCAGAAGTTTATGGTTCAGAACAACACAACTCGAAGTTATTGCGGCAAGAGGGCAGACTTCGCTGGGCCAAAACAGAAAGTTATAACCTACTGCTTATTTGGAAACTATGCAACGTACGCATCGGGTTTCCCTGAAATTTTACAGGCAATTACAAACTTTTATCCTGGGTGGCTGGTTAGGCTGTACACTGAACCCTCAAAGTACGTCACTGAACTGGCGCCACTCATGCAGCAGCACCCGAACTTGTACGTGTGCGACGTTAGCAACTTACCGGGCAACATCGCTGACTTACGTGGGCCCGATCCTCGACTTTGGAGAGTTGCGGTTCTGGGTGACGAGACGGTCGACGTGTTCTTATCGCGAGACATAGACGCTGTGGTGAGCTCCAGTGTGTCTAGGCGGTAGGAAACTAGCAAAACTAATTTTGATAGTACGATGCATTTTAGCTTTTGAGAACACATGGTTTAAGTTCCGAAAATTTTTCAGAAACCCAAGGCATTAAGTAAATTTTATCTCTTTGTTCGAGTCGGTACTTCAAACAGCTTTAGTTTCAGAGACAATCGCTGGAACTGACAATTTACGAGATAAACTGAAATACGATTTCAGGATCTTCGGAAATGCTGCTGTGTGGTGCTTGCATCCAATAGTGTATTCGTGAAATATCATCGCTCGAATTTAAGTATCCAATAGCCTTTGTTGATTCTTTTCAAACGTAAATGCTTCTTTATTACAGATATTAGATCGTGAAGTGGCAGCAGTACATGAGTTTCTGAAGTCAGGTAAGACACTGCACACTATGCGCGACCACCCCGGGCATCATCAACCTGTCTTGACTGGCATGTTCGATGTGAACCAGACAGCCAGCAACCGCTCGCTGCTCAACGCCATCCGTGGTCAACTCTTTGGCAAATTCGAGACATTATCTGACCAGGATTTGTTAGAAGTGAGTACTGAAAAGTCTTGTGATTTAATGTTTTTTATTATTAATTTAGTTAAATATTATTATTATCAAAAATTTAGAATAAAGTGTACGTATGTACTTTATTGCTAAAAATCAATCCAGGTGTCGTGAAGTTCATTCATTATGAAGAGATGTAAATTTATCGTAAAATAATAAATTTACCCACGCAGGTATGGATGTTGGAATATTAAATATGTTTTTAACTGTGCACGTGTCTTCTTCAGAAGTATCTCTACCACAAGTTGATGCACGACTCGATCTCTCACGACAGCTACCACTGTCACAGGAACCCATCAACTGTGCCCTTCCCCAACCAAAGAAAGGCACACATGTTTGTCGGCAACGCGAGGTAATCTCCGCAAGCCGGTGGCGATGTTTTAATTATCATTTAGGTACATACCTGATTAAAATTTTTACTTCTCTTCCTGCTATATTGCTGTATTACGGAGGGACGGTACATTAATTTTTTACTTATTAGTGTAGGTCCGACGTTCGCCTGTTGTAAAATATTTTAATATTATAGGTTACGTTCTAATCGGAAAGAAAGACAAAAAGATTGTTATTGGTAGAGCTCGAGGTGTCTGAGTGGTTAAATCCCATAGATGGGACCAGTGAATTGGTGGTTTGAAAACACAGCAAGCTGTGACAATTTTAGTTGAAATCGGCCAGGTTGTCGGGTGGTTAAGAATCGGCTACAGGCCACTGACTATACTGTCATATGTTATTAATTATTTTGGAGTCTGGCAGGAAATGATTGAATATTTTACTAGATGAAACTGACATGGTTTCGATTTCGTCTGTGTTTGGCATTTGGTTTGACTCTCGCATTAGGATTTTGAAAGCACCCTCCTGCGTAGCGTGTGTTGAATTACACTATTTCTGAAGCAATATATTGGCGTAGATTTAATGATTGCCTTCTGATCCTAGGCTACTGTTTATTCGCTCGACTATTCGTGGAAGAATTTCTTGAACTCGAGTATCTCACAGAGTTTCTGCATCGTTCGTCGGCTGTGTCAAACAGTCTATAAAAATCTTCTGAATCTATCATGTGTAATCGTACACGACTTGAACTTGCACAATTAGAAATGCACGCGCACCGACACTCTCGATCTTTGTCCTCCTCCGTCGTGGACAAAATTCACACCACAGCAAATGAGCGACCGAAAAGTTTACATGTATTTGACTTCCGTATACGTGCCTGCAATGTTGTATGTATGCCCGTTGCTTAGATGACGTCACATTGCCGGTTCTACTTCTAATATCATTTTATTATCTGAGAACTGCGTTCAGAGCGGTGGGTGTATTTCAAATCTGGCGATTGATGTGGAAATTTCATGTAATTTATATCGTACTGAAGGGTGCTCCAATTCCCGTCTCGTAACGTAAGAGAATAAGTTTAATTTTTCACTGCAAATACTAAACATTTGAGGGAAAATCTCATATTCTTGTCTATTTTCAGGTATAGAAATATTCACAGCGAGGTCACAACCGAGTGTCCTGCTATATGCCGACCTCGCAACCACCAGGACTGGAAATTTTGCTGATGGCCCTCATAGTTGCCAGGAACGCTGCTAATCGGATCAAAATAATGACAGCGACAAGAACTTTATCTGTTTTTGTTATAGATTTTAATTATGTTATTTCGAGAATTGGTTTCATGAACGCAAAGGCCGTTACAATGCTGGCAGTAACCAACCCCAAATCATCATTGTGGAATTTTTCTTCTTATTTAAACGCATTAATATTTTATAATTCAATCATCAAATAGAATGGAACTCCACCAATTTATAAGTAGACTTTTGTCATACCAGGACTGCCTCGTCACATCTCTCGTGACTGCATGTTGCCCGGACAACACCTCTTTGCCTCGTCACAACAATCATGACTGACGCCAGGACAACACCTCTTTGCCTCGTCACAACAATCGTGACTGACTCCCGGACAACACCTCTTTGCCTCGTCACACCAATCGTGACTGACGCCCGGACAACACCTCTTTGCCTCGCCACACCAATCGTGACTGACGCCAGGACAACACCTCTTTACCTCGTCACATCACTCGTGACTATAGCCTGGACTACACCTCTATGCCATGTCACGCCAATCGTGACTGCTGTACCGGCACTCTATACTTTTTTATTCAGTTTGATATCGTTGCACTATAAAGACTTCTCTGCCTTGACACCACCTCGCTGCTTCGACGCTCGTCTCGTGACCGCTGCCTTGACGCCACATCGCTTTTTCGGCGTCCATCTCCGGACCATCTCGTACATCTCGAGGAGTCCATGTAGTTCTTTCTAAGATGTGGAATATCATAGGGACATATCAGTGGGAATCCATCTATATTTAACAATGTTTGAGAGAAATATTAGCGCTTAGCAAAATTGCACGTTCTGTATAATTATTGCGCGCAAAATGAGTGAAAATTTCACCGACAAGATTAGAAAATTTTCAATTTTAGTTTCAAAAGGCGTCTGTGATAGTAATGATTAATAGTGGATACTAGGTTATTTACATGTTGTGATGATCGTATTTCCTTCAGCAAACTACATGTTGACAACCATACAGCTATTATTGCATACTTCTCGTGTAGTCAAATGAAACAATAAGAAACTATTAAAGTTAATCGCAGTGTTAAATTTAGACCTATTGAATGAAGATGCAAAGAACTTGCATATAGGAGTCGCATACCTACAACAGGCTTCGCTCATATGGGAACTTCGAAAGCATCTCTAGTCGAATAATTTGACAGCTTAGGAGACCCCGCATGCGGCAACAAGCCTTTTTTTAAGAATTTGGAGTTTCAATGATGCAGATGTAGGACCTATTGAAATTTCAACTCCAATATTCGAATTTTTCTCTTTAAAGCAGATAAAATTGTCATTAAGGATGAATGCCTGCGCAACCGAAAACAAATTTATATTATAAAGAATTTGCAAGCAAAGAAAACGCCAAGTAAATTCGCCATATCTTCATTGAAAATGTTTCGAAGATCAATGATGGGAAGAGTAGAACCTTTTCTACAGTACTCGTGTAGACGTTATGCGACGTCGTTCTGACGAACGCTGTTCAATGCGCACAACTCTACATCGTAAACCATGGAAGACCACATGGACTGAGAGCAAAGCTGATCTCCAGAACGCTCCCAATGACTTTATATCAAATTTACTGAACATTTGCTGTCGCCTTCATAAATGGCGAGGTTCCTTAAAGATTAATTTTGAGGTATAAAACCTTTAGCATGCAAACTCTCTTGGCCAGTTCAGTGTTTTACAGCAGCTCTCATGAGCTTCTACAGCTTCTACCCTAGGCAGTTGGGGACGCCAGGTTAGCTTGCTTACTTTTTTCAGCAGTTATGGATTCGAGATGGTGCATAAGTTCTCAAAACCGAAGAGGTGTTGCCGATGATAATATAATAATTAGAAAGCGTTTCCAGCGTTTATCAGGCCGTAGGATTGTAGCCGATTCAAAACATCTCTGAATATTCACAGCTTTGCTTGTTGCAGTTTCGAACGCGCAACTCACTGCTCCAATTTTGATGTTCATAACCGCCCGTCCTCCTTCAGTTCTTGTCGATTCGGTCCAGCAACTGTCGCACAGAGCTGCGATCGAACCAAGCCTTTCTGCTCCAAACCTAGCACTTTGCGCTGTTAACTCTGGCCCACCATGTTAAGCCTAGTTGATATTGGAGCAGTGACCAGCGAGTTGCGTGTTCGAGACCCGCAACAAGCTGTACAAATTCTGAGATGATCTGAAGAAGATTAGGCCATCGGCATGTGAGATAGAGATTAGGTCCAATGGCCTAATCTTCAACGCCGTCACCGCTATAATTATTAGAAAAAGCTTATCATGCTTACAATTGATCCATCACAAAAAAATTGGCAATTATTCGTTTCAATATTCTTTCTGCCCATTATAATTACTTTTTATGACTTTGCAAACCTTATTTCTGCAGCCATTACAAAACTAAATAAATAAATAAAAAAATTAGTATGGCGAGTAGCAAGTGTCTATGAATGCTTGTGCGTGCTCACGGTTCACTTTTCTTCACACATCCTTTTTGCCATCCTCGTTCTGTACCACTTCCCACTGTTAGTGTCACTTTTGGCAGTCCGTGAAGATGCGATACATAAAAATACTAAGTTTTTGTTGGGTATTTGTATCCTTATAATTTATTAACTGTTAAATTTTTTTTATTTCATCATAAGTTGCCTTGCATCCCCTTAAGCCGCCCCTAAAGGCCAAAGCTCATTCTCAAATCTCAATGATGTTGCTTTGAACTTTGAAGTTGAATAAGAAAGTACCTACCTGTATGCAGCTGAATTAAATTTTTTAGTTTTTCCTGTTAGTTTCTTATTTGTATGGATTAATTATAATATTTGCAAATTGAAAAAAGTCAAAATGGAGGAAGAAGAAGAAGAGAAAATAATGCCCCTGAGGCCAGATCTGCAAGGACCATTGGTGAGCATATGATTTAGGTTAGCTAAGAACATGAATTCTTATACCTACCTAGTAACTTCTTACATTCTTAGGAAGTGACAAATACATTAGTAACATTACCTATATATTCAATTTAACCAGTTCTTTGGCTTTCTCTTGTACTAATCCTGTTGAGTAAAAAATTCTTTGTCTCTGTTGTTGTGGAAAATTGTAGCCTAATTGTGTTTAAAATTCTTTGGGTCCTAGGTTTCCTAAATCCTAACCTATTTCCATTGCCAAAATAGCCACAAGAAAGTTTATGAAGTAAAAACCTTTAATTGCTTGTGTAGACTTCATTAGAATTCTAGTCCTGGATGTCTCAGGCTTTATAAATCCACTTAGCTACGTTCGACTTCATTAGAATTTTAGTCTTGGATGTCTACAGTCTTTTGAATCTAGCTACACTCCTAGGTAGTCCTTTACTTTAGTCCTACTGTCCTACACTACAGTACAGTCTTAAAGTGATATGGGAAATTGAAGTTCAAAAACTAGGTATATTGAGAGTAAGATTTTTTTATATACCAGTAAGCAGTAATTTGAAACTAAGTTTCTTTTTCATAAACCATAGTAATTTTTGTGAATTGGAAGTACAATATAATGAATTAATGAAGTGAATTTAAAATACAAGTACAATATTCAGAATGTGTTTAGGAATGTAAGAAAAAATATTGTGACTAAATACTTTAGGGTTCTGGCCCTTCTGGGTTTGTGGATTTTTGTTCTCTCAATGTTGCTATGGTGTCAGATTAACAGATTCATGAGTCATGACTAACAATATCACCTGTTACAGGAAATCCCTCCCAATGAACACCGTCTTCAGTATGTGTGGAATTTATGGTACAGCAACCGCAGCACAAAAAGGAATTATGACCAAAACCTTAGACAAATTTGCAGGTAATTCAATTCAAGTTTTTGAAAGGTTTGTATGTAACTGATGCAGGTATTATTGCCACAGGACCAGGTCTCCTGGAGTCCTGGTCCCTGGAGTACCCTGGACTCCAAAGCTATAATTGAGACTTTAGTCTATGGTACCAGGTGTTATAGTATAGGCATCATAGTGAAATAATTTTATTTGCTGTTGTTACATGTGATTCTTTTCATGAAAAAATGGTTCATGCATGGTTCTATTTTATTATTCAAATACTTGAACATTCCATAGGAGGCTAAAAGTCTGTTTTGAATTAATATAATATGTTGAAAGAAAATTCCAAGCTCATTCAATTTCCATTATGAAGAGTGGCCCATCCATTATTTGCATATAAATTTAAAAATGATGATATAATTATTGGTTAATGAAAATTTGAAACTCTGGTTATTTATTTATTTATTTTGCAGGTTTGGAACTGTAGAAGGATTTTGGCGCTGTTATCAGTGGCTGAAGCGACCATCATACCTCAGCCTCCAATCTATTTATCATCTTTTCAAAGAGGGCATCAAGCCCATGTGGGAGGTTTGTGACTACTTTACTCTAGATTAGCTTCTTAAAATTCAATAGCATTTGACTACATTTTGGACTTTTTAATCTTCTTAATAGCTTAAAAGAGTTTTTTGAAGCTGATTTTGGTTTTTAAGACTGGCATTGTAAATACTAGTATATTAGGGCTGTTTGAGCTCACTCCCACAATTCATATTGTGTCAGGTATTGTGAACTTGAAATATGATTAAACCAAAAATCAAAGTATAATTTTTAAATGGAATTCATAAAATTAATTTTGTAGTCCAGAATTTTTTCAGACTAGAGTGATACCTATAACTTGTTTGTGTATCATTGAATTTTTTTCTGTTAGAGTTAAAAAATGTAGAGGTACCATAATAGATGGCCATCAACATGAAATGTTTAGCAATGTAATTGTCAACAAAATATTTCATATATGTACAAGAATTCTTAGTCTAAGTTCTTGATGGATGCTATCTTCAATGTCCCATGAATTTTTATCATATTTAAGTCACTGTCCATCAAATGAAGGAAAATATCTTATAAATGTAATTGAACAACAGCATTCTGTTATGATTTAAGTAGCTGTGTTATTTTTATGTGGTACTCAAATTCCACAAAATGCTATTCTGACCTTAATTGCATTGACTGTTTGGAACTATATTGATTGCTAGCTTTTGGGATGTTTATTTGTACTATTTTAAGCTTACTTGAGACCATGAACTGCAGTTCCCTAGCAACATAAATGGAGGCACATGGAAGCTGTGGGTGCGCAAGGGTGTCATCGACAGATGCTGGGAGAATCTTCTCCTTGCCGTCGTTGGTGAACAGTTTGATGTTGGTGATGAGATTTGCGGCATTGTTGTTTGCGTCCGTAATCAAGTGAGTTTCTGTGGGCAATTACATCATCGGTGCATTGTCTGTCAACATATATTGTATTAAAATACATGGCAGGAAAGCTGTAGGTGAGCTTCATGATAATTTTTTTTCTACACATCAGAATTCATTTGATAATCAATGAGCTTGAATTTATAGTGATGGGGCAAACAATTCATGCTCAATATCAGACCAAATGAGTTTCTGATTTTGGTAGCTCATGCTAAAAATGTTATCTTATAGCAAACACAACTAACTTGGTTTTATTAATAATGCCACTCAAAATGCCATTAGTCAATAAGTTAATTTTTTGCAAAATTTGTATTACATAGTTGTTACTCCTGAAAAAATTTGAAAGATCATAAGTTCACTAAGTTAATTATTATTGAATGAATGCTAAACATTAAGAATAAAGCAACTGTCCACCAGGCCCTACCAGATCTAAACAATGAGTCTTAAGGCCTCTCCTGCAGGATGTCTCGGGCTGTAACAGTTGATCAAGTGCAATTCCTTGAGCTTTTTTTCTTGCGGTTCGACTTGCCTATTGTAGATTCAATGTAAAGAAATGGACAGTTTTGGTGTTGCTTCGTAGAACAGTCCAATTGTAAAGCAATTCAATTGTAGAACAGTCCATTATGCTGCAAATTGCTAACTAAATTATAATTAAATATGTATGTATATGTCATTAAAATTAGGTTTTAAACAAGAAAGTTATTATGAGAATACTATTAGTGCTGCTAAAGAGTAACAGTCCCATGTGTTTGTTCAAAATGAAACCTATATGAAATCGATGCAATTGTAGTCATTTTTCTTGCCACTTATTAACTGACAAATCCAAACCGTAAACTCGATATTATTATTTTTCACGTGCAGCTGCTATGACGTCAGATTTTTCTTGGATTTACTTGTGCTAGAGAGGAAGTTATTGCTGCTGGAATTTATTCCTTTGAATCTGTGCCGGCCTCATTGCATGATGGAGGGCATAAGCTCACTATTCCGGGTTAAAGAAAAACATTTCTTAATTTCAGTTCTGAGGAACCTGATTTATTCTGACCGTAATTGAATTGACTTCATTGAATTATATTGATAACTAGCTTTTGGGATGTTCATTTGTACTTTTTGAAGCCTACTTAAGCCATGAACTCCAGCCATTAAGCCTCCTTAGGCCATGAACTCCAGCCATTAAGCCTACTTAAGCCATGAACTCCTCGTCTCCTTCATGACTACCCTCTTTCAGGAGGATACTCTCTCCATCTGGAACAAGACGGCGTCAGACCAGCGTTTAGTGGAGGGCATCCGCAAGAAGCTGGTCGAAGTGCTGCAGCTGCCCAGCAACACGCTCATGGAGTACAAGAGCCACACGCAAGCAATGAAGGAAACGTTCCCTGGTCACAAGACCTTCCCTCAGAAACATCTATGATGAACCTGCGCTTGTATCAACATACACGCGCCTATCATGTTCACGTCCACGTCACAATCATGTTCACGTTCACGTCACAATCATGTTCACGTCCACGTCATTATCATGTTCACGTCCACGTCATTACCATGTTCACGTCCACCTAATTATCATGTTCACGTCCACGTCACAATCATGATCATGTTCACGTCATAATCATGTTCACGTCCACGCCAAAATCATGTTCACGTCGCAATCGTAACAACAACCACGCCAAAATCATGTTCACGTCCTCCACTCCAAAATCATGTTCACAGATGCTACGTTTCAAAAGCCCCGCTAAGGAAGCATTAACTGTTTCTGTTTGTTTTCGATAACGTCAGCTTTAAATTAAATAAATGCCGCCTGCCGCGTTCCTGAAATTTATGGAGTTGCTACTAAAATACCAATAATTACTTGCTTAATTGGCTGCATCGTATTCACAGACTTTGTTTCGATTTTATTGCGTGTCCTAGCCTTTGTATAGAGAGAGCATAGGAATTTGAGTCAAAGCTTTTGTTTACCAGTCAATATTAGTTCGGTCATTATAGATCCCAAAGTGCTCGCATTGGCCTTCAAGTTTTGATGCTCAATTTATATGCTTGTAGTTTGATCCCCATGCTGTTCAATGACAATAAGTGTATTCTGTAGATTTTTCCGTCAAATTGGAAATTTTCAATGTGTTCTCTTATATCTTATCTACAACTGATTTCAACTCTAATACTTCAAAAAAAAATCTTGTTTTTACACGACCAATCTTCTTTCATAACTTGCAGAGTGGCTGATGCTCGCTTCTGGATGAGAAGGACTGTAGATTGGAATCTCTAGGCAAAAGTTGCTTCGGTTTGAATCTCGTGAGGAAGTTCATCGTGTCACTAGTTATTTAGTTATTTAAGAAAAAATCTGATTATTATGATGCTTGAGCAAGAAATGTAATGAATTTTAGACCCGTAGTCTTGTTTTGGTTGTTTGCTTGAAACAACTTTACAAGGTTATAGTCCTCTTAAATACTTGGAATGCTACAATGAATGAGCAACATATTTCTTTGAGTGATGAGTAACTGTCATCACCAAGAATACTTGTTATTTCCTGCGAGACAAAACCTGACATCTTGATCGTCTTCTGTTCCTCTGACATCTTGATCGTCTTCTGTTCCTCTGACATCTTGATCGTCTCCTGTTCCTCTGACATCTTGATCGTCTCCTGTTCCTCTGACATCTTGATCGTCTCCTGTTCCTCTGCCATCTTGATCGTCTCCTGTTCCTCTGACATCTTGATCGTCTCCTGTTCCTCTGACATCTTGATTGTCTCCTGTTCCTCGGACATTTAGATCGTATTCTGTTCCCCTGTCATTCACTAAAAGATAGCGTACGGCGATCTGTTTTTCCTGAAACTAGCGTAAGGCTGAGTTAGTCAACGATGCGACGCATTAGTTCTACAAGCTCTCGGCCATTCATTAATGTCCCCCATAAGTTGGCATTCTAAATTGAGGATTTTTAGAATTAGTATTGACTTCATCTTGGTTATTTATTTTATATTCACGTTTAAAACGCATTTAATCGTGCTTGCAAAAGTTTGGCGTCTTAACTTTGCTGGGTTCTGAGCCTTTTACCTGTTTTTACAATGCATGAAAGTTAATTCGGTGCTCTGCGAGACTTGCTCTACTAGTGTCCTGCCATCCTAATTAAGAATTGTACGTAGATTTCATTGTTGATGCTTGACACTTGAATGGCAGAGCGCGTTAGCGTGACATTCTCTCTGATAATGAGGCAACTATATCTTTGTAATGATGTTTGTCTTTGCAGTTTGTGAATTACCTCAAACGGTATTTAGTTTACTTCTCATGACATTTTGTTTACCTCAAACAGTATTTAATTTACATCTTACGACATTTTGTTCACCTCAAACGGTATTTAGTTTACATCTTACGACATTTTCTTTACCTCAAACGGTATTTAGTTTACATCTTACGACATTTTTTTTTACCTCAAACGGTATTTAGTGTACATCTCACGACATTTTGTTTACTTCAAACGGTATTTAATTTACATCTCACGACATTTTGGTTTCCCTTTTACGGTATAAAGTTCATTCCAACTCTCGCGACAGTTACAAAGTACGTACTATTCCATTCTCTTGGAATGTTTACTAACAATCAGTGTTCGCGTGTTTAGGAAATGATTTCAAACCTGACCGCTCCACCCGAATGTTGGCATTCTGCGTGCCCAGTGAAATTTTGATCTGCGGTCAATTCGGTGCTGGGGCACAGTTCGAGAATTGTATTTGTGATCATTTGACTTTTTAATGCCGATCAAACTCAGTGTGGAATCAGCCTCGGACAACACACGTGTCGAGATGGCAACGCGCAGTTAGTCTGTTGGCCATGCCGTCTAATTGTGATGAAATACAAATGAGATTCGGCAGTTCGGCAGATTTTTCTAAGCATGAGAACTGAGATTATTATTCGTTTATTCGAGATGAATCGAAAGAATAGGTTGAATTACTGCATGTGAGCTCTATTGTTTTTCGGTACCATTTTTTATAATTTCGTATTGTGGAACCGCCGTTACGAATGATTTTATTGTTGTCAAATATTTTTTCCTTGAAGAGTTGAGGGTTGCACAGAATGTTGTCCAATTTATAATTGTGAACGTAAATGACTTATCTAGTTTGCCTGCTCGGTTGCTGCATTAGGTTGCACTTGTTTTCCCTAGTTCACGGTAGCCACCTTTTCGTTGCTTACCTGTTTACGTCTAGTAACTTTTGGGCTTTTATTTACCGCTGGAGAGAGCCTGTGTGCTGGGTCGAGCTGCGTATTTCATGAATCAAGAATGATTTTTAATTTCTCACTCATTTATTATTAGTATTTTTTTGTAATATCAGTTCACGTATTTCTTGGCTTTTCCTCTCAGGCTTCCGGGACCGCTACTCGCGGTCCCATGGACCTTAGTTGTGGATTAGATTTTGGTGGTGGGTGTGTAGGCAGGGGGCGGGTGTGTAGGCAGGTGGCGGGTGTGTAGGCAGGTGGTGGGTGTCTTGGTGTGTATGCAGGTGGCGGGTGTGTAGGCAGGGGGCGGGTGTGTAGGCAGGTGGTGGGAGTGGCGGGTGTGTAGGCAGGGGGCGGGTGTGTAAGCAGGTATGATCTCTCGTACGGACGGTGCAAGCTCTGTACGATCGATCTCTTGCATGATAATCTTCATTCCTGCTTCTGTTCCCTAATACCTTCGCTTTTTCTTGTTGCTCACCCATCATTTATTCTTTTCTGATGCTGTTCATCTGCGTCTTCTTCCTTGCTCCTTCCTTTCTGCTGTTCTTTACCCATCCCGTCTTTTCTTCCGCTGTTTATCTATCCCCTATTTGTTCCTTATCTCGGATGTTTTCGCAGCCTTTAAGCTCCAGCTTTATGGTGCTGACCGGTTGAAGCCCTGTGACCCTCGTCGGAGGATGTATATTGTGTTGTGGCAATCGTTAGTCTGCCTGCTCGGTGGCGATGAGCTTCCAGCCTTTACGATAGATGGCTTTATTGGCTTCTTCTAAAGCGCAGGTAAACTTGAGATCCACACCACGACTGAAAATTTGGAGGATTTTTTCTTCGTGTGTTTGATTCGTCAGTTGTCAAGGCTGGAATTTTGGTGTATGTAATTTTTTTCTATCCGTCAAAATATTAATAACTTAAAATTCTATCTGAACTTTGCTAGTAACGCACAACATCGTGCATGAATATTTGAACAGAAGTTGCAATAATTTCGTTTGCCTAGTAAAAGTCAGAATACACGCATAATTTCCTCAATTTATTTCTGACCTCGAAACGATGTAGTTCCTTGGAATAATTAAAATTTGGTTGATCTTGTCCCTTTTATTATTTCTCTTAGACAGTGAATCTATTCGTTTAGTGCTTGCGAAGTATTGTTCTCTCAGCCATCTATGTTTAGTTGTTAACTCATAAGTGTACAATTTACAAGTGCGCTGAAAATAATGTGAAGTTGTTATGGTGCTGAGGTATAGTTTTAACGGACCCATATAGAATCTCAATCGCTTATATACAACAACACTTATGGATCTTTATGTTTTGTTCTTCGAATTTGAATTTAATTATTCTTCGAAGTTTTGAATAGATTTTGAGACTGTTTATGCGCTCGCTGAAGTGAACCTATCAGCGGTCTGGAGTAAGTTTTTTTTAGCTAATGATAAGATTCAATTAATCGATACAATATTGATTAATGATTAGAGCATTTGTAGGGACGGCACAAAATGTATAGTTCCCAATAGCTGTCCCCATTTCCTACTCTAGAAGCTCAGATACCATACAATTTACTACTCTTCCAACACTAGAAGCGACAAAGCATTTGAACGCTGACCAAAAAGTTCTCATTTATTTGTGAGTTCTAAGGTTGGAGACCGGAGTTCAGTGGCGACTCACGTGCCAGTGACAATTGTATAATGTTGATCGCGCAGCAAAAAAAAAAAACGCATAATAAAGCGCCTTTTCTAACAAGTGATAATGAGATAATAAACTGATCAAAATTCAACTGATGAGATAATTTTTACTAACTAAAAGATCATGTAACTCATTCATCCCATACAAAATTCCAGCCAAAAACATCATCTAGCTATCCCTCTACATTAATTAATATCGATTGAACGAAAACGGTAGATGACTAATGATAAATATTATCAAAACGATAACTGACAAGCATTACATATTATTGGTCCCTTTCGTTGGTCGCATCACCTACGAATTTCAACGTATATGAATTTCAAGTTATTGTCTAATAAACGTACAATATTTATAATTACATTATCCTTACAATCAAGCATCCAAGCTTCAGTAATGATGCAGGGAATGTTACTGAAAACGAGGCTCATTAGGAAGCAATTTTGTGCACGGAAGCTAAGAATGAATAGGTACGCAAGAGACTCATCAGGAGTTGGAGGCTGGAAGAGATGAATTTTTATTACAACTGATTCATCATGTGTCGAGGGTTGGCTGAGAAAGAATTAATTAATCAATTCAAATTGTATTCTGAACGTTTTTAATCGCCAAAATGTGATTTCAAATTCATTTTCAAATTGTACGCTATCGTTATAGAGGTGTCAGCTATGATTAGGTCAGGTTAGCATAGCTATCTAAGATTTTTTTAAACACAGGGATTCAACTCGCAACTTAATCGGCCATCTTGTCGATTTCAGCCGTAAATTTCACAACTTGTTGCGGGTTCCGAACCTCCAACTCACTGCTCAAAATTTTTTAATCTTAACCAATCGACAACCCCAAGCATTAATACAGATTTTCTCAAGAAATCTTATTCTACAATTTTGTCATTATTTTTTCCAATAATTGATAATAATTCAAGTCTGAAACAGAAATACCTTTTCGATTTCTTATGACTATGATCTAAATGCACAATATTTACACGAGTTTATACAGAGCCAAATTCTTGCAATTTGCTGTTATCTCTCCAAGTGCCCGGTAACCTTCTCACTGCCCCAGCTGTGTCAGTGGATCTCTCTGCTTTGGTCAGAGAGAGAGACTGGTCAGTGGATCAGCTGGTCAGTGGATCTCTCTGCCAACCAGCTGTGTATGGCAAGCTTGACCATCTCGTGATCTACCATCTCACGTGCACGTTGGGATAAATTTAGACTTTACTATAATTATATCATGCATATGGATAAGACCTGATGATGAGCGAAGGTCGTCAGTTCTGACTTGCCTGACGATAAGTTGGTTCTATTTTGACGTGAATGTCCTTATGGCAAGTCAAGTTTAACTTGACCTGACGGTAGTCATATCAATCCAGTTCGGCAAGCAATCGTTGAAACATTTTCTTAACGAAATGCTCAGGATAAGTTCACAACTCTTGCAATGTATATTGATGCAATCATTTCTCCGCTATACGAAACTTTAGTTTGACTCATTTATGTTTTTATGCTGCGAGACTCTTTCCAGGGAAAAGTATTGTACGTTATGTTCTCTTAACGGAAGTTTTATTCTCTTATCATAAGTTATGTTCCCTTATTGTGCGTTTTTTAGTAAAAATCCAGGTATTGGACATGCATGGATCTGGGCTATTATTATCACTTCTAGTTATCAATTCCTCAATAGAATCTTGATATTAATCCCTCAATAAATTAATTCACTGTCATCTTGAATAGATGTGGATGTTCTTGATGAAGTAATTAGCATCGTTCACGAGCAGGGCTGACCGCAATGTCATCTCAGGCTGCCAGTTTGGCAAAAATTACGTATTGAAATTTACTATTAATTTAGTCATGTATTTTATTTTAACAGAACGACGTAATATTTATTTTCCATAACATAAATTCAAAAAAAATCTCCAGTAGCTTACTCGACTGACTCAGTCGCACAACGAACGCATACCTCAATATTACCAAAGCACGACAAATATCCTCCTTCATTCAGGTGCTTGTGTAATAACATCAGTCCGACACCACTGCGCACACCCAGTTAAATAATTTACTTTTATTTGAGTAATCTTAAGTTTAGAATTCCGGCATACAATTCTTATAATCACTATTGCTGCATTTAGACTACGACAAATTCTCTTCCTGTGTTTGGTGCAGTTTTGAGGTATTGAGTTTTTATCACTACATCCTCCAGAGTTTCTGTGCAGGCTTACTGCCTTCTTCCTCCTCCTGCACACAGCTGAGTTTGCTGAGTGCCTGGCTCCTGCAGGCGAGTCTCTTGCTTCACATGAGAGGCACTCGCCACCTCAGCAGCGCCGCATCGGTGCCGCCCGTCGTGAACAGCAGCCGGTCGGCCATACTGAAGCGCACCGACGACACGTACGACGTGTACACTTTATATTGGTGGTAGCCCGCCCTGGTGCTCAAAACCGGGTACCTGCACATACCAGGCAAATGATGGATATAGATGTATAACCATGTAATGATGTATAATAATGTATAACCATGTAACGATGTATAATGATGTATAACGTAGTACCTGGAGGTAGTCCGCCTTGGAGCTCAAAACCTACAACCAAGCAAGAGATCCAGTAAGACTGTACGTGTTATGTCCTCATATGCTCTAATTAGCACGAACGGCGTTCTGTTCGTGCTAAGTAATTACGACCGAATAATTTCGGCGAACAGCGATTGAATAATTTCGGTCGTCTTCACCACTCACCCTCTCATCACTCCTCTTTTCCCTCGCAAGAGAGATAAGTTTAGCTCGATTACCAATGATAAACTAGCACAGAATAATTCAACCACGGCAGACAACACTCTTATAGAGGCGTATCTTAGTTTGCTCGTAGTATTCCAATAACTGCTTTCTCTATTCTATCATAGTAGCGCACCTGTAGAGCCTGACGTTACCCTAGGTGACGCAACAGTAGAGACTGACGTTACCCTTGGTGACGCACCTGTAGAGCCTGACGTTACCCTTGGTGACGTACCAGTAGAGACTGACGTTACCCTTGGTGACGCACCTGTAGAGCCTGACGTTACCCTTGGTGACGTACCAGTAGAGACTGACGTTACCCTTGGTGACGCACCTGTAGAGCCTGACGTTACCCTTGGTGACGTACCAGTAGAGACTGACGTTACCCTTGGTGACGCACCTGTAGAGCCTGACGTTACCCTTGGTGTCGCCGGCGGCTAGCAGGTCCCCCTTGGGGCTCCTGTCCACCGTCACCTGGATGGGGGAGTCTTTCCGACCTGACCAGATGCCTGATGGGGGAGGCAGAAGTGATGGCAGGCATTGCATAAACTTGAGTGGACAATATTGGGTGGACAATATTATCAATTGAATAATTTATCATCATGAATGATTTATTTCACTGTTTCGAGATCGTTTTATGTTTAGCGCTGCAACACATCCGTGAGATACAGCTTGAAGATGGCTACAGCTACGTGAGATGGATACGTGAGATACAGCTTCAAGATGGCTACAGCTACGTGAGATGGATACGTGAGATACAGCTTCAAGATGCTACAGCTACGTGAGATGGATACGTGAGATACAGCTTCAAGATGCTACAGCTACGTGAGANCTCTCACCACTCACCCTCTCACCACTCACCCTCTCACCACTCACCCTCTCACCACTCACCCTCTCACCACTCACCGTGTACGTAGTATCCTAGAGGGCAGGTTTGAGTCACCCAGAACTCGTCCTGCACATCCGCATCGTACGACACGCTGGACAGCGTCCGCAGGCTCCCTGACGTACGAAAAATAATGAATTCATGATGTGTTTGAGTCTTTACTGTACAAGAGGAAGTTCATTACAATGGTATTCTTACCTGGTCTGCCACCTAATCACGTGTTAACAATTTAATTGTATAATTAATTTATGATTCGATTGTGACTGTGAGGCCGCAGTCTGAATTTATAGTATGCACGAAGGTTACTCATAGAAAGTGAGGTCGTAGTCTTAAGTTTTCAGAAAAAGTTAAGAGATCGTAAGTTCATCAACCAATCATTGACGGCCTTTCAAGCGAAATCCACCAATCATAGACAAGAAAATAGAGCGTAAGTACTTACGTTCACTTAGCGAATTTTGAAAGTATGGCCCCAGAAGAAGTTAAGAGATCGTAAGTTCATCAACCAATCATTGACGGCCTTTCAAGCCAAATCCACCAATCATAGACAAGAAAATAGAGCGTAAGTGCTAACGTTCACTTAGCGAATTTTGAAAGTATGGCCCTTGGTCTGCACGAAGGCTACTCACAGAAAGTGAAATCGTAGTTTGAATTTATGGTCTGCACGAAAGTTACTCACAGAAAGTGAGGTCGTAGTCTGAAGTGACGGTCTGCAGGAACTTGCCAGACTCCGCCCAGTCAATGGCAGAGAGAGGCTGGTCGCCGATCATCTTAGAGTAGCGCGTGTAAACCAAACCTTCTCTGGTGCTCTTGTAGAGATACAGCGACCCGTTCTGGGACCCCACAGCCAGCGTGTCACCGCCTGCCCAGAGGAACGACCAGGGGCACTACTATATAGTTACGAGTACGTCACTCCATCAGCTAACAAGGAACTTAAAAGCAAAGAGAACGCCAAGTAAATTGACCATATCTATGTTGAAAACGTTTCGGAGACCAGCTCCAGCGTCAGTTCGAAAATCTAGATTTTCGAACTGGTCGATGGAGCTGGACTCCGAAACGTTTTCAATATAGAAATGGTCAATTTACTTGGCTTTCTATTTGCTTTTAAGTTCCTTGTTAACTTTCGTTTTAAGCAGACTAAAGATATAAGTAATTCCATCAGCTAGTCACTGACGGCTTTTCAAGCTAAACCGACCGATTACAGACGAGAAATCAGGTGCTACGTGTACTTAGGCCGTAATGTGTACTTGAGTGAGTTTAGATAGTGCGGCTCCAGGTACTGACATGGTCGTATAAAAAGAGAACGCATTACCTCTGGCGCAAACAACAATAATGTATGGATACTCCAAAAATAATTATTTAATATGTCTACGCTTGGTCGCGCAAGAACATTAGACGTTCAGGGACTCACGAAGGCACGATTATTGGAAGCATGCAATATGTTATTTGTTGTCTACTTGTACAGACAATAGAATAATTTTCATGTTTACACTTTATTATTGAGTACGGAAATAATGTCTCTGCCTACTAACATCAAAAGATTAAGCATTTTCATTCCAATCCTGGATCAGACAACGTTTGCTCATTCAGTCATATGTAGTCATTGCTGCGATCTTTGCTGTTGCGTGAATATAAGTTCACATTTGCTTCAATAAAGCAATTTTATTCTTTGATATTTCTATGTAACTTCTGTTGATGATGACAGAAAACTCACTTTTATGGTACGAGAGACACGAGAGCGGGGAACCACACACTCTGACGGTGGCCACGTGCTTGCCGTTGTCCGCCCTGACCACCACCAGGTGGCCATCGATGGTCCCCACCGCCAGCACAGACCCGCTAGGGTGGCATGCCACGCTCACGCACTCACTCTGCGCCTGCGTGGCAAGAATTGCGGTCGTTAACTATACAGATGAAATGTCTGTTTATTGAAAATAAATTATGTTCACTCACATTTGTGTGTCGAGGTCATCTTTTTAGCGCATTTTCTCATACATGGAAAAAATGCACTATTGTGCTTGCCATGTACGTCCGTCTGTCTGTCCGTCCGTGACTTCACGTTTTCGTCGACAAAAAAATGCGCTCTCTGTCACTCACTGCAGTGAGTACTGAGTTATATTTTTTCTCAATCCGCATAAGTATTCTCAGGTTTAGGTTAAACACACTTCTCGTTGATTTTCAACAATTTAAACCCAAAATTGTAGATGTGGAAGTTATTCATGGAGAGTTAACGTTGACAATCATCAATCTATACTTCATCTGACAGCGGATGATCGTAACTTCTTAATACTTCAATATAATGAGCATAGTCTTTGAAGTTGTATACGATGTTGATGTATTTATTTTGGAAACATTTTTATTAACCCTGATAATTCGTGGATATATGTGAATTTTCATTAAAAATACTTGTGTGTAATTTTGTAGGCAACCTGTATGCGCCAGATGAGCTTGTTGTGCTCCCAGCACACGATCTGCTTGTCGTAGCCAGCTGTGGCGACCGTCCCGTCGCGGGGGTTGATGGCCAAACCCCACAGCTGGCGACTGTGTCCGAACACCACCTGCGGACACGTCGATTATGGCCGTCGCTTTGATAATTTTACGTCAAACTAGAGTAACATTTATCCAGAATATGACAGGCGTCAGATTGAGTTTAACAATTAGTTAGTCTTTTCTTCAACTTAGAGACTCCAATGCTTCATTTTGCTGCCGTTGCTTTTTGATTTGCCCAAATAATCCAATGTAGAACGATACCATATTAACGAGTGAGACACCACACAATAACAGAACAATAATGTATCGATCGTTATTCATTGAATACGAATAATATTTTATTCCTTGCAATAATTTTTCATTACCAGTGATGTTCGCTGGCCAGACGGTTCTTAACAGTTTTTGTAACTGGGCCAAATTTGATTCAGCAACATACAGCAAAGATAGTAACCCTTCATCATTTGAGTAGGCATAATTTTTATTGAAGTAATTAAAGTTAACCCTGCTTGCTCCTAGGATAAGGGGACACTCTGATCTGTGTAAGTTATACATTAAATTCAATTAGCCACAATCAAAGCTTGAGAGATGATTGTATGTGGGGGCAACCTGGTTGAAGCGGCGCTGTAGGGAGCCCTCCAGGATCATGTTCCTGATGGTGCCCACGTAGATGTTGGCGTCGTTCATCCCCGGCCGCTGGGGAGTCACTGTCCGCACTCCGCCTGATGCTTCTGGAAGCTGGGCATGCAGGAATGAAATGTAATATAAAAAATTAATTATCGGCATTCATACTTTATTTTTATTTCAATACTTCTCTTTAACTTCACTTCTTGTTGGTTTGTTTGTCTGCTACAACTCTTATAATCGATATTTAACACACTTCTACCTGTCCATCGATCTGAAATTTTGCACACTTGCGTAAAATCGGAGACAATGCTTGAATCAATTGGCAGAATAAATAATTTAAAAAATTTATTTATTTATTTATTAAAAAAAATAAAAAATATATTTTTTAATATTTAAAAAAAATGTTAAAGTATTTTTTTAATATTTGAAAAAATAAGAAATTCATTGTACATGTGTAACATCGGAGACACTGGCCTCTCTAGAAGTGTTGTCTCTAAAAATAATTTTTAGACGCATATTATTATATTGTTAGAATATTATGGGCATTGACGAATGCACTGTAATGTTTCAGTTATACTTTCAAATTACAGAATCATGTCTTAACATCATAAAAATTTTAGCGAACCTGAAACCTCTTTAACTTCATAACCGCATTCACAACAACGTGGGGAAATTATATTTTCCCACGAGAAATAAAAGTTGTCATCTATTATTGAACAGAGATTGATTTATTTTTGATTTATTTATTTATTCACACAGGAGCACACGTTACAATGAAAAAATAAAAAGAGACGTGAAATAAAATAGCAAGGCTTCCAGGTGAATGCCCATAAGCTAAAAAAGCTTCGCAGGCAAAACAATAGGTACATGACTCAATTAAAATGATAACAAGACGACGATTTGAACAAATAAGTAACAAATTTGTAAAATTAGCAAAACCATTGACAAAAGCCTTAAAAACTGATAACCGTATGTCATAGCAGAAAAATCAGCAAAAAAGAGGCAATGTCAACATCACACTTAGTAAAACAGAGTACAACTATAAACATCTAGTCAAAATACCTAAAAACTTGCATAATAATCGAAGTCAAATTAATACTGGTTAAGGATAAAATCACGGTATTTTATTTTTAAAAACATTTTAGAGCAATCTTGTTTGAACTCATCGGGTAAAGATAAAAAATATTATCTAAGTACAATTAAACAAACATTACAAAAAAACTGGACAAAATAAAAACGAAACGCCTCATCTATGACGATATACTCATTTGCTACAACGAACTCATGGCCACTCTGAACCACCAAACATCTATTATATAAAAATATACGCAACGAAGCATTTTTCTTTTGATGAGTTTTTGAGTAACCCTCTGACCATGGAGTTGACGATATTAGAGCTTTAGAAATTAACACATGTGTAATAGGGATGATGTAATAATGTTATACTTTACCCTCGTATTTTATTATCATAAGGTACAGCAGGTTTTAAAATTGTAACATAAATTCTGAACACATTTTTAAGGTGATTTTTGCCCATTGTAAATTTACATGTACGTGCTATTTTTTCATATTTTTGAACATTTAAAACGACGTACGAATCACCAAAAAATCAAGCTAAGGGTAAAAAATTCTGCACACATTATGAAATGAAATGAAACGTGCAGAATTTCTAAGGGTAAGAAATTCTGCACGTTTTTTGCACATCCACAGCTTTTGAGCTTTATTGTGTAACCAAACTCCAAAAAGTTGAAAAAAACGTTTCACCCTAATTCATTTACGATTATTTAATAGCTTGTAATAACCGTTAATCTGACTCGATCATTACCCATTAGTTCTCGTAGCATGCCTCATAAAAAAGCTGTAATGCATTCACTATGACTTAAATTACAATTTATCATAAACTGTAATTACCAACTTGAAGGATTTTTACGTGGAATACGTGGATTAGCTGCATAAATTAGAGCCTGGAGTAAAGTCACCTGCGTTTCCAAGATGGCGTCAAAGTCTTCGTCACAGTCCCAGGCCACGACGCGTCGGTCCTTCTCACCCCCTGAGAGCAGCGTGCCTTCACTGAGCAGGTAGAGGGCACTCACGCCTCCATCGTGGGCCTCGAGTCAACAACGTACAGCAGTAATTAACACCTCAACAAAATATATGACATCATCTAACATGAGGAATTTAAAAGCAAAGAAAACACCAAGCAAATTTACCATATCGATATTGAAAACGTTTCGGAGTCCAGCTCCATCATCAGTTCGAAAAACAAAAATGAATAAAATCATATTATTATATCAAAATTCTAAGACAGACATATGTAAAACCTAAAGAAGACCTATCATTATATCGAAAAACTTTATATTATTATATTATTGATATAATTATATGATTTTATTCACTTTTAGTTTTTCTAACTGATGATGGAGCTGGACTCCGAAACGTTTTCAATATCGATATGGTGACTTTGCTTGGTGTTTTTCTTTGCTTTTAAATTCCTTGGGAACTTGCGAAATAAACAGACGGATAATATAAGTAATCATCTAACATTTTTCATTATTTAGGTATCTGGAATTAAATCATTCTTTCACACAATATATATGCTGCAGGAGAACTAGACATATCTGTGAAGATATGTCTAATAATCCCAGATCATTGTCCGGGATTACTGCAGGAGTCACATCTGGAATTATAGCCTGTCAGTGGCTCCTATTCCCGAGCCGCTGACTGACTCCAACTTAGTGAAGCTGCTTTTAAAAAATGATAAAAATTTTCACATCCCTTAGAGAGAACGGTCGTTTACATTGTAATTATTTTGAAATACAATATGATTGATTATTCTATGGTAGGCAATAGTGAGAAGGTTTCGAACTGTTGGTAATTAAAATTATTAGCCGAATAAATTATTAGTTTTACTCAAAGGCTACGGATTTCTTTAGAAAGATTTAAGTTACTTCCTTTTGCAGAATTCACATTGCACAGAAATTTTAGAAATCGATATTCAATTATCAGCGAGTGATCTTGTCGATTAGGAATAAATTTTCAGTTGTTCATTCATTCCTATGAATACATCAGAGGTCAGCTACATCCATGTAACATAACATCTTTTGCCAATAACTAATTGTTGTTATTAGCAAGCGACCCTCCAGCTTAGGACGTCAGCAAACTAAAAAAACTAAGTCGTGCCTGTCGAACGGGAAGCCATACAGTCAAATATGGTTTAAAAATTCATAGCCAGCTCGTATTCACAAATTGAATTTTGTTGGAAATTCGAGTGAAATAAATTATAGTAGATCTTTATAGGGCTCTCACTTCTAAAGTTGCCTGTTTGGTAGCAAGTTTAAACTATTGCGAATATTTGTCTCATTTGAGGTTCATTCGTGACTTTTTACACTTCTTTAACTGTTATCCAGAGAGCTATTAAGGCATGATTTTTCGTGGTGTTGAAATCAGTTCCGTGTTATGCGATTGCGTGACAAGTTCTGCGTTAAGTTACACACTTGAATTCAAGTTGAATATCACGGCAAGACTCCTGGCAACTTGTCGACTGCAGCAAGTCATTATGAGGACTTCTTATCGCAAGGCCGCGATGAGCTCTCCTTGGACAAGGTCATGACAATTTGACAGGAATTTTATGAGCACAAGAACATGACTCCTTTTGAAATTTTAAAGCAGTTCGTGAATTATCTTTTTTTAAATATTGCGCATATTCAAAAAAGTTTTATCGATGAACAGGAAAATTTATTTTTTTTAGTTTGCTATTAATAAGATTTTTCCGTCACAATCGGAATCTGGATAGTTGATTAAAATTAAAATATAGTCAAAGAACAACTTTTGATAATTTTTTATAATTAGTTTCAACTGATAATTATATAATCTTGACAATTATATTTGTCTAAGTATTCATTTTGCATTCATATGTCTAAAAAAAATAATTTACATGCATAAAGTATTAAGCAAATCTTTTATTCTATATTTACGATAAAGTAAGCATATAATCTCACCTTGAACTGCTTCAAGACGTAATAGTCGCCCTCCGCGTCCACGGACCACACGGTGAGCAGCCCGTCCGAGTCGCCGGTGATGACGTCACCGGGCGGCGTGAACGCTATGGCCAGCACGTTGCGTACAGTCGTGTTCTGCGCGCGTTATATCTGGTGTTATTATGTGGTGGTGATGGTGGTATGGCTGCTGTTGTGGCTGTGGGGGTTGGTGTTATGGCTGCTGTTATAGCGGAGCTATATTTATGGCTGGCATGAGAGGACTGGTGTTATGGCTGGCGTGACAGGACTGGTGTTAAGGCTGGCATGGCAGGGCTGGTGTTATGGCTGGCATGACAGGACTGGTGTTATGGCTGGCATGGCAGGACTGGTGTTATGGCTGGCATGGCAGGACTGGTGTTATGGCTGACATGGCAGGACTGGTGTTATGGCTGACATGGCAGGACTGGTGTTACGGTGCGATGTTGGTTCGCTAGGTCTGGTATTATGACTCAGGTTTTGTACTTTAATTCTACTTACCGACAGAACTAGAATTCCGTTAGGTAATTTTTGGTGCTTGTATTATTTAGAGTTTCTTTTATGAGTTTACTGCAATTTTATTACCTCTAGTTCTGTTAAATTAAATACAAATATTAAAATTAAATTAAATATTAAGTTAAAATCAAAAAAATTTTCGACTTTTCCACGTTAAACAGACGAATTGGCATTAATTAGTTAGTAGACGAACACAAAAATAAAATAAGCTGAAATTATTTCCGATTATGCATTCATGTGCAGCGCAAGAAATTTTCGTATTAATTTAGAAATTATTTAATTAGGCGAGTTGATAGCAGATATTTCCAAGAGTGTGAATGAAAGTACACCAATTGAATTTTTGCCCGCCATATGCTCCTTTTGCTCTATCTAATAGGTGAGATTTTCAGTACCGCATTAATCATTCCCTCAATTTTGAATTAATAATCAGTCAAAAACGAGCAAATTCAGCTGCTCAAAAGATACCCGAGATTGTGCTGTCGTGGCTGAGTTTTGAGTTCTTCTGGCACTCAGTACTCATTTACACGTTGCTTCTCGTAGCTTACACTCCTGCCAATTCCCTGTCAAACTACGTATAAGCTACACGACAGCAGTTCGCTGATTTAGATCATGTCATAGAAAACACTGCTAACTTAAAAAATGTTATCTACTATTTTATTGTAATTGTGGGCTATTTATAAATTTTATATAAGGTATAAAAAGATAATACCTTAATCATCATTATTAAGGTTACCTTGTTTATTCGGTATTATTGCGCCCCCACCCTACATTGCGCCCTCGGCTTTCCCTGACTCTAAGTGTAGCCTTTGCCTAATCCCTACCTCTCACCCTAACCCTCACCCTAACCTCACCCTAACCCTCACCCTAACCCTCACCCTAACCCTCACCCTAACCCTCACCCTAACCCTCACCCTAACCCTCACCCTAACCCTCACCCTAACCCTCACCCTCACCCTCACCCTAACCCTCACCCTAACCCTCACCCTAACCCTCACCCTAACCCTCACCCTCACCCTCACCCTAACCCTCACCCTCACCCTAACCCTCACCCTAACCCTCGATTGCAGCAGCAAATCATGGCTTGCGTGGCCCGGAAGTCGTCCAAGAATCCACGCCCGTAATTTGCACGGCGCGGCGCCGAGTTCCGCATTCGTGCTGTGCACTGCGGCTTAGAATGACTGGCAGTTGCGTCACGTTAGGTGAGCTTTGTTTTGTTAGCTCACTCGAGGATAAATGTCTTACTTGCTTAATTTACTGCATTAATTAAGACTGTGATTGAAAATTAGATACGTTATAAGGGGTTCGGTTGGGATGAGTGACGATACTTCTACATCAATGGCACTTCTGACTAGTCCAGCAAAATTTATTTAATTGCAGGTCATCAAATTCTTTTTTCAGTTTTAATAAATAATTCAAAATAAATTGTTCCTATTGTATTTCAAACAAATAGGAAAGCTTGAATTATCAGTGAAATTTATGCAAATGTAGATGTAAACATTATCGCCTTCAGCGAACTAGTAAACTATATTGTAATCAACTATCAATATATAATATATATGAAAACCATTATTATCTTTTTCTGCCAACTGTAACCATCGTTACCTGGCCGTTATATAAGAACAGTATTGGACCGGTCAATATATCAGCAAAGAAATAAATTTACTGGAGCCATCGTATATAGCAGCCTCGAGTGAAATGCCTCGTTTAACTGCTGTCCATTGTAGTTCAGGCACAATCTAAGCACTGTCTTGCTATTATTCGGATCAAAATATACAAGACTATATACAGATTACGTACAATCTAATTTGATGATCCGAGAAAAAAATTTTACTCCATTTTCGGTGGTAATTAATGGTGGCAACATACGCCACAGTGGCAGTTGTGGCGATACATGCCACAGTGGCAGTTGTGGCGACACATGCCACAGTAGCAGTTGTGGCGACACTTGCCACAGTGGCAGTTGTGGCGACACATGCCACAGTGGCAGTTGTGGCGACACATGCCACAGTGGCAGTTGTGGCAACACACGCCACAGTGGCAGTTGTGGCGACACATGCCACAGTGGCAGTTGTGACAACACACGCCCCAGTGGCAGTTGTGGCGACAAGGTAATTAATGGTGGCAACATACGCCACAGTGGCAGTTGTGGCGATACATGCCACAGTGGCAGTTGTGGCGACACATGCCACAGTGGCAGTTGTGGCGATACATGCCACAGTGGCAGTTGTGGCAACACACGCCACAGTGGCAGTTGTGGCATCACATGCCACAGTGGCAGTTGTGGCATCACACGCCACAGTGGCAGTTGTGGCATTACCTTGAGCAGGTCAGTGCGCGTGAAGATGCCATCCTTCCTCCTGGACCAGATGGACAGCAGCCCTCTGCCGTGGGTGACGATGAGGTTGTTGTCGTGGGGGTGGAAAGCGGCGCCCCAAACGTGATCTTCGTGGGTCTAGATCATCAAATATTTTAATTAAATCAATCAAAAAAGCTGCGCCCCAAAACGTGATCTTCGTGGGTCTAGATCATCAAATAATTCAATTATTAATGGTATCAATCGAAGAATATTTGATTGCCCCATCAAATCATTGAATTAAATCAATCAAAAAATATTTGGTTACTCTGATAACTGAAAATATCGATCAAAAAACACTCGTTGATAAACAACAGAGAATCTTTCACAGATAGAAAGATTTCAGATGCAGCAACGTGTTCACAGTGCTCAAAATTAACAAATGTGGAATATGTGTTTGAATACAATGATTCTAATTACAAGGTACATAATATTTCTCATAAATTATATTAGCTCACCGCAACTCTACCGAAGATAACTTGCTTCGTCCAAGCCCACACAGAGAGCAAGTGCTCCCGGTCCCCGTCCACTGCCAGGAGATATTCTCCGTTGTTCTGGGAGATAATAAAGACACAATCTGGTATCTCTTTGTGCTTTTTTCCCTATCTATTAAAAAAAGGGTTATTAACTATTAATAGCAAAACGTTTTATTGAAAAGGCTATTACAATGTGTACTTTAACAATGTAAATCGCTCTCTAAATTCGACAAGGCTGCTTCAAATTGAATTCCTCCTATTGTGACGTTGACATCCAATAACTTGCTGCTCAGTACGTGCAAATAGTTAACAAATTCTGCAGACTTGCAATTATCTTGCAATTATCCTCCACGTGTTCGCGTGCTAGAACCTGCCACATTATTATTCCTCACCCGAGTGGAGAAGTCAAGGGCCAGGATGCCGACACCCAGCTCCCCCTCCCCTAGCACGTGTAAGGTCCTCAGGGAGCGGCTGTCCCAGACCTGCACGTTGGCTGTGAGGCGGTGCCCCTGCGACGCCCGCTGCCCCGACGCCACCACGATGCCGTTAGGGTGCAGCGCCATGCTGCAGCCACATGCCAACCTCATCAGTCACTTTGTCATTACAATTGAAATAGTTGCACAAGTCATACTTAAGAAATTTCTTAACAAAAATGTATTTCACATTTTTCCTTATTGGGGACTTTCTGTTGGCTGGAATTAGAATGTTCTGGGGCAAAGTTTAAAGGAATAAAAGGTATTTTAAAATAAAAAAGTTTGTTCCAAATAGACAATTGAGAGCTGACTGTTGGTTGAACCATTAGCATTTTCCACGTTTTTGGTCAAAATATACGAGTGAGTACCACAAACGAACTTTAGCACCCACAATACAAACTAAAAATTATTTAGTTAATAATCACATATTTTTTGCCCCCCTCCCAAAAAGCAAAACATTTCACTAATTCTAGAGGTATTCTCCAAGGTATTATTATATAAACATATGGTCAGAGTACCACTGGATGTCCTCCGTGTGTCCCGTATAGTGTCGCTGATGGTCGTCCGTCCTGTCGTAGAGCACCGCGATGGTGGCCACGAAGTAAAGCATCTCGCCGCTCTTCACCACCCACAGGTTCTTGCGCGTATCCCAGCCTCGGTAGCCGTAGCTGAATGGCTGCTTAAGGCTCACTTCACCAATAACAATTAATTATTCATGCGAAGTTAATGTATTTCTCGCGATTGAGACAATTTGCACGGAGGAGCCGAGCGAAGTAAATACTTCAGAAACGTTAGAATTTTTGTCATTAATAAAAAGCGCCTCAATCTGGCGTTAGCAACAAAAGGCAAGAAAGAGGCAGAAATCAACTTTTATTAACAGAGACAAACAAGTACAGTATAAGTAAGTTTCGGAGAAAGAACGTTAAGTTTTCTAGTTAAAAGCATTTTATTTCCCAAAGTTTGTTCAAAAGTTAATTTATGTCATTTTTGATAGACATGTTTATTTGAAAAAACCTAGAGTAAAGACAGCCGTGCACTGAGTTCAGACTGAACTATACAAGATGAGGCAGGAGAAAATATGTAGTGTGGCAGTAAAGGATACACCCAGTCTAGCTCGAGCATGTGTGAGGGGTGATGCGGGTTGTGCAGTACATCGCGGCGCGGGGCGAGCAGGACTTTCTTTGCTCCTTTGATCTCAACAACGGCAGAGCGACCGCTGGCCAGCTCCATCTGTTCGTCCAACGCTCCTGCGACACGCACACCAAATTTTGCGATGTTTGAATGTGAGTTTGTTGATTTATTAGGCTAATTAGCGTGACTTATATTCTTATTAAACAGTTAGTTTTGAAAAGATGATTAGTTTGTGTGTCTGCTCGAGTCTATTCATGGATCTTTAATTAAGTCCAGTCACTGGCAAAACCAGAGCAAGTTTCCACTCCCGTAACTGCAATATTGTTGCACAGTATTCGACGGTGCTTGAAGTTACTCATCTGAATTATTTCACGTGAATAAAATTCTCACTCAAAATGAAGGAAGCGTCATGAATGAAATTAATGAAAACTTTTCAGCAGAAGTTATAGTATAATTCATTTTAATTCACTTTTATCAGTTAGAATATTTTTTCAAGATCTGTCTTTGGTCATGATTACCCATTATTCCTTGCGAAACAGCATTAAAATTGTCAGAATGTGTAATTGGGTTCGAATAAGACGTTCTACTGCCATTCGCTCACTTATCATAGAAACCTACCACTTGACCTCCATGAATCAAGACGTAATCAATATTAAGATTGGCAATAATTTGTCTACTATTTCCTCATTATTCCTTCCAGCAATGCAGCTCACGACTTCTTCGTCAACTGTTACCGGTCGTTACCAGCCGCAGCGCAGCATTTCAGGCTATGGGTGTACCTGCGTGTAGTGCCTCTCAAGGAATGAACTTCAAACGCGGAATTGGCCGCACTTCAGAATAAATTGCTGGTGATCGGGCTAGAATTCAGCTGTAGTTCTGCGCTGTGATGGCGTCAGTAATGTCTTGGTGTTGTGCTACTACTGGCTGTCTAATATGTGCTATGCTTTGGGGTATACTGAACGTCTTTATTGCAAAAGGTTGGTTAGACGCGCTAAGATTCAATTTTTTCTTTTATTTACCTTGCTATTCATCACTTATATTTATTCTCCTTTAATCTGAAAATTCTGTTCTTTTTTTATTTTGCGAAAGTTCAACAGTCTAATTTTCAATCCAAATCTGAACAACAGACTCATAAATAATTTTTAGTTAAAATCAGCCTGAATAGATCGGGCGGAAAAAATGTCATTTTTTCACGAGGACAAATTTCGCATTTTGACATCAAGAGTTGAGAAGCTAACATGTATTGCAAGAGGACGGATCCTTTAATTGTGAATCAAGTCGCGAAAAGTACAAGAATCGGCAAAAGGCTATGGGCCTACTGTATTTCTTCGAAGCCGACACTTCTATTCTATTCTATTCCATTATATTATATTATATTGTATTATATTATATAATATTATATTATATTTTAAAGAAAGCTGAGCCACTAAAGACTAACCGTTGAGGCTCGGCTCGCTGGTGTGCCGTCGGAGGTTGGAGGCCAAAGCAACCCCACGCTTCGTACGCTGAACCTTCCTGCATCAGCACCAAACATCAAACATTAGAACAAAAAATATTAATTGCGCACATAGCTAGAACTATAAAAACAATGTAGCACAGCATCAAAAACTAAAATAAAAAGAAAATAAACTGAGGATATAGCTTGGAATATAATAGCAGTTTCGCGTGCATGTAATACCCTTTGGACTTGAAAATAACAATTTATTCACCTGGGTATTAATATAGTTGTAATTAGAAACTTTTTTCAGTGTAATCCACTGCTTGATAGCTTAATATAACGTTTTTATGTTAGAATATTCTTTGACATTATGAGCCGTTGATTGCCACTGTAACGCATTGTTCTCTGCTGTAGACGTTAGTATGTCATGATCCCAGTCTGCAAGCGTGTTCTGATAGTATCGGGAATTAATTTTAATCTTACCACATTACATGGGGTATGAGGGGTAATTATTTTAATATTATTTGATGCACATTATTTTTTTTTGTATTTTTCTGACGTTGATTAAAACAATTATTGTTCTTTTCTCGAGCTGCCCCTAAAGCCGCTTGGAATTTCGTGAACATTTCGTCGTCATGGGAGCAAGTATCGCCGCTCGCTAATTCTCGGGGATTTCTTCCTTTCAATGATATTACTGCCGTGGAATTCGACCACACGCATACTGCCGTGCTCGCTACTGCAGCCCAGGTTCTCTTACTACCGTAACTGCAGGGACTGCAGCACTGCTCCATTGCTGCCGTAACTGCAGAGACTGCGGCACAGTTCCCTTAATTACTACCGAGGCTGCAGAAATTGCAGCTAGTCCCCATGTTGCAGTAACAATGGGGTTTGTAGCCCATTTTTCTTACCGCCGTGACTGCAGGGACTGCGGCACTGTACCTTTACTGCCGTAACTGCAGGAATTGTAGTTCTATTCCTTTACTGCCGTAACTGCAGGAACTGCAGTTCTGTTCCTTTACTGTCGAGACTGTAGGGACTGCATTACTGTTCTCTAACTGTAGAGACTGCAGTTCTTTTCTCTTACTGTCGTAACTGCAGGGATTGCAGTTTTGTTCCCTTGCTGCCGTGACTGTGGGGACTGCAGTACTGTTCTCTCACTGCAGTAACTGCAGGGATCATATCCTGTACTGACACTCCTTCCCTTGGATTGTGCCCAAATTGGCCGTCGCTAGACCAAGGTCATGTCATGATTCCTCCATCGCATTCCTGGCAATTTATGTCAGAAATGTCGGATAATACGCTTCCTGAGTGTAGGCTATTCTCGTATCCGACTGCAGCTAAAAAATTAGGGAGTTAGCCATAGTATTTTTCTTCAGTTGAGTGCCGTGAAGAACCAACCGCCGGCTAATGTGCTACGTGACAAGCCATTTGTGGACGATGTACTTCGTAATGGACCTTAACTCTTATTTGTGTAAACAATTGACGTCGCGATTGCCGACACAATACGCGTGCAATCCTTCACTATAGTCATAATTGATGTCGAAATTGTTGACACAGTACGTGTACAATCCTTCACTATAGTCATAATTGATGTCGAGATTGCCGACACAGTACGCGTGCAATCCTTCACTATAGTCATAATTAATGTCGAAATTGCCGGCACAGCACAAGTGCAATCCTTCAATATAGTCGTAATTGATATCGAGATTGCCCGAAAAGTACTCATGCAATCCTTCACTGTAGTCGTAAATGATGTCGAGATTGCCCGCACAGTACGCGTGCAATCCTTCACTGTAGTCGTAAATGATGTCGAGATTGCCCGCACAGTACGCGTGCAATCCTTCACTGTAGTCGTAAATGATGTCGAGATTGTTGACACAGTACGCGTGCAATCCTTCACTATAGTCGCAATTTTATTATTCGTGTATACTGCAGCACATCAACCGAGGCCGAGTAAATGAAGCGATGATGTATAAAATGCTGAGCATCTCAAGTTATTTATCCGAATTATTTGTCACATAATGGACCGGTAAATGGATTATTAAGAAGGGAGTTTTGTTCCACACATAGCGTCTGTTTTTACTTCCTTGATGAGTTCTTATAGAAGATCAAATCATGAATAATTTCTTCGGTGCTTGAGGAAGAAAATAATAATTTTAATACTGCTTAATTACAAAAGAAAATACAGTCAAATGGACGAATTTTCACTGTGAATGTAGGGAGTTCTACATGGTGAGTAATTTCATGATCCAGCATACATCTCGTGACTATAAACACAGGCTTACAAACGCTGGCAATTATCCCTTAATAATGAAATTAACACGAGAAGATAACAGGAAATCGCGTGCCACGACCCCCACCCCTCGGCAGCTTGACCTTGCCCCTACCTATGATTGAGGTTCCAATCATCAGGTGAACCAATACTGAACCTGGGCTTACAAATCAGCTGCGCAAATACCAGCGAATTCAGTGAATTCAATTCCCGCGAACAAATTATTCATATACAATAATTCATGCGTGAGTATATTTTAAATCATTTCTAAAAATTGTATTTTTTAGATTTTATTAGAGTTATAGTTGCTGAGACAGAGTTGGCTGAGCCAAGATGGCGCTCATCGCAGAAGAAGAAACGTCGTCGTTAACACGCGACCGCCGCCGTCCGTTATGTGGTCTGAAGTTCGCATGCAAACCTGTCACTCCGGCGCTGAATTTCACGGCTTTTTCCTTAATGTTTGTGTTCGATATTCACGGCTTCACGGGCTCGTCGGGAATCGTTTAGCGGCTTGACTATTTTGTCGCTGAATTCATGGTTCCGATTCTTTTTGAACGAAGCATTTATGACTAAATTTATTGAGTCTAAACATTTATACAACTGTTTTGGAAGCAAGAAATATTGGTATTCTGCTTGCGCACAGGAAACTTGTTTATTTTATATCTATTGTTTTTATGTGATTATATGAACTACCTTCCTTCGCTTAAAATCAACAATAGTGGCTGGTGTATGGCCAGGACGCATCTTATAATTCAACAAGAAAATGCAGATTTTTTCTATTTAGATTAATGAATGTGATACGTGAAATTCCGTACAGATTGCACGCACATGTGTTGATATAGCGACTGCCGTCTAAGTACAGGTGTTGATGTAGTGACTGCCCTCTAAAAACAGGTGTTGATGTAGTGACTGCCCTCTAAATACAGGTGTTGATGTAGTGACTGCCCTCTAAAAACAGGTGTTGATGTAGCGACTGCCCTCTAAGTACAGGTGTTGATGTAGTGACTGCCCTCTAAGTACAGGTGTTGATGTAGCGACTGCCCTCTAAGAAAAGGTGTTGATGTAGCGACTGCCCACTAAGTACAGGTGTTGATGTAGTGACTGCCCTCTAAGTACAGGTGTTGATGTAGTGACTGCCTTCGAAGTACAGGTTTTGATGTAGCGAAAATTCATTAAATATTGCCTGTACGGAAAAATAATTCACATTTTTAGAATTGAGTGTTGAAATGTCAAACTCATCAATATTTACTTATACTTTCAGTTTTTTTGGTCTGCCGTTTATGTTCAACAAATAGCGTGCGTTAGTGCGTGAAAATTAAACTTGACTCTGTAATAGCGACTGATGGTCCTTGCATGTCTACAAGAACCGCCCTTGAATTCCTGACGAACTTGCAATAATTGCAAAATCTGGTGAACATTTCGTGATTTGGTCCTACTCGTTGAGTTACGGAAATATTTTATTAGTTATACGTTTGACTGAAGTTCATTAGGGTTCAGAAGATTATTTTTTATTATTAGTTTAATAAAGAAAAATCAATTAGTCGACGGTAATTGCCATCGAAAGAGTCAAAATTGTTATTCAGAATATTATTTTATTCATACAATGAAGGAAGATTCCAGGTCTATCCATAAAAATGCCTGCGTAACTGTCATTCAATGACGTCTTACAAATAACTCATAACCAATACGAAGCATTCTTCCTTTCGCTTCAGTAGCCAATTTCAGTTTGGACGCGGGCATTTCGCTTTCGTCTTTGTAACGAAAGGTTTTGATGCAAACTATATTACAAGATCATAAATACTTCCGTTGAGAAACCCTGAGTCATAACACTTCAGAGATTCATTGACGTGAATTATTTCCACAAAGCATTATTTTGCATTGTCGGGAAAAATTTCGCCGGTGAACACTTCAAGCCAAAAAAGTAAATAATATAATCGGGCAACTATGCAATGATAGTCTTTGTCCGTTAGTGAATGATAGTCTTTGTCCGTCACGCGCTTGAAGGGGGACTGAGACATCCGTGCCTGGAGCGTATATGTATATCCAACATTAATTGCTTTTCATCACAATCTATAGGTGCATTCCAAACCATTATCCCCTAACGAACAACAGCGATTGGATATTCAAGTATACATAGACAGTTTTAACAAAATTACATCTACAAGTACGCAAAGTAATAATTAGACATCACTGATTGATGGTGCAGAACAAAAACCATTCGCAATATTCACTTTCGGAGACCGTGACGAGAATCCCGAATCCGGCACGTCGCCGGCACGATATACGCAGTTTTCAGTTTTTCGTGTTCTTCGTGGAACTTCGATACAATAAAAATTAAATTCAGAAGCGACGTGCTTAACGATGGAAAAAGTTAGTATGCGCTATTAATGAGAACGTAATGCATTTCTGAAGAAAAATGACTCAGGCTGATTGATTAATCTCAGGGTTCATAGTCCTGCCCTATGACTATGCTCGGAAAATTGAACTTGCGTGCTTGTGGGCGTATGTTTGGAATTGATTTAATAAATTGAGTGTTATAATAACAATTAAAGAAGAGATTAAATTGCTTGGGGCATATGTTTAAAATTTACTTAATTAATTGAGCGCTATAATAACGATTATCGAAGATATTTAATTGATAGGGAATTTTACCTGGCAGGGTCGACGCTACGGCGGCCTCCTCTAGCCGCGGCGTCCGAGGCGCTGCCGGGGGGCGTGGGCGTGTCGCCAGGACCGTCCAGGGGTGCCAGGTAGAACGTCTCCACGGCCGCGAAGTCGTTATTGAACTGCGAGAAGCTCTTCACCTGCAGAGATAAATGCATAATTCATCCCCATTGAATTTTTTTAATTTATTAAATAGGCAAACATTATTTATTAATAGTAAAGTAATTTAAAATGTTTAGCAATTAGACCTTTCCAGACGATATTGAAGAAGTGACAACGGATGATCACGTACAAAGCCAACGGCATTTTTGCCATTTCTGTGCAAATCCGAGTAAATAATCGCAATTTAATTAATGGCGGCATATGCATTCATATATATTAATTCACTTTTATTGAACATGCCTTCATGAAATTAGAGAGAAACGGAGAAACTTGAAGTTCTTTTACCGAATTGCCAGCCAGCGCAAAAGCCAAAACTTTTGCCTTCAGCCAAAACTTTTGCCTTCAGCCAAAACTTTTGCCTTCAGCCAAAACTTTTGCCTTCATCGATCGTTTATTGATGCACAGTTTATAGCACACATTTACAGAATTGTATCCGTTCCTTTATTGAAACGATCAAGCAATTATGTTTCTTCCGTGGGAGATAAAATAATAATAATGAAGTACGTGAATGTGAAATTCCCTTTCCCGTTCATTAAGTAAGCGTTGCTAAAGTTCTCGACCTAATTGTAAACATTAAAAACTGACTGGTGGCCGGCGCAGTGCAGTCTGCTGATAACCTCTAGCAAGCAGATCGATGATCGGGTTCAGCTCGCGTGCAGCACAATCTAACGCGGGAAAACTTCGTACTCTTCTCATGCAACGTCATCAATACGTCTCGTAGCGACGTCATCAATACATCAATACGTCTCGTAGCTACGTCATCAATACGTCTCGTAGCGACGTCATCAATACGTCTCGTAGCTACGTCATCAATACGTCTCGCAGTTACGGCTTAAGCAACGTCATCAATGCGTCTCGCAGCTTCGTCTCAAGCAACGTTATCAATACGTCTCGTAGCTACGTCATCAATACGTCTCATAGCTACGTCTCAAGCAACGTCATCACTATGTCTCGCAGCTACGTCTCAAGCAACGTCATCAATACGTCTCGCAGCTACGTCTCAAGCAACGTCATCAATACGTCTCATAGCTACGTCTCAAGCAACGTCATCACTACGTCTCGTAGCTACGTCTTAAGCAACTTCATCAATACGTCTCGCAGCTACGTCTCAAGCAACGTCATCAATACGTCTCGTAGTTACGTCTCAAGCAACGTCATCAATACGTCTCGCAGCTACAAAGCAAGTTCATCAATACGTCACGTAGCTACGTCTTAAGCGACGTCATCACTACGTCTCGTAGCTACGTCTTAAGCAACGACATCAATACGTCTATTAGTGATGTGGCTCGTCAGGTCAGCGTTATTTCATGGCTAAAATATTTAATTTGGTTATACAAAATATTCTTTGGCTTTCAAAAAACGAGTTCTAATATAATTATTTACAATTCTTCATCAATTCTATACTAAAATAAATTTTTTCATATATTTGTTTGCTTCTTCTCATATCTAATTATGTACCATGAAATTCATATGTTCGAATGTTTGGAAAGCTAGTCTTAACTGTTAATTCGTAATCCTTTGCGTCGAGTTTCTCATATTTGAGTTAAGTTTGAATCATTCGTACATAAAAGGCATTAAAACTTTACATTGTCTTTACTCCAAAGAATTGTAAGATTTCCTAGCCATTAATCGTGAAAACATTGAAAAATACTACTTCATTTATATTCAATACAATTCCTAATAATAATTTTTGCAACAAGTTTACTTGTTCAGATTACAAGCAAAATGAAATTCTCCCTCAAATGTCAGAGGCACGAATGCTAACTTGATCAGACCGGAACAAAATTTTAAGCGAGAAGCGATCAGTCAAAAGAATTCACGGTGAATTTCATCTTCAGCCTGGTCAGTTCTTTCCGCCAGCAAAGTTATCGCATAAAAATAAATCATGTAAAACTTTGATTATATACCGAAAAAAACAATGCCGATAATTTCTAGACTCGTGTTTGACAAACTATTCCAGCTTTGCAGTTGGCTGGAGCAATGTCAGTGGCACAGAGTCAGTAGGTCATGAGCCATAGTGATTAACCTGTAGCTGAATGTGCGGCTCAATATTGGCTGGCTGGGGTAGTTTTGACTGTTCCGTGACGATGGGCATCGTATCGCTCAGATAACCTGACCCAATTGCTGGCCGTGGCCTTAATTGCCTATAAGGGCTGCATCTGTTGTTTAGATTAGCTGTAGCCTCTAATTTATAATCTTATCGACCTTGCTATCTCTTACTTAAGTAAAAGTTTATTGTCAATAACACATCCGTGCATTATTAGCTGTATAATCTGGCCGGGTCTGCACGCTAACTGATTGTAGGCTCCTCAGCTTCACCTTGGTTGTAAACTGCATCAAGCTTCTACACAACTCCAGTGTATAATTGACCCAGACTTCAACCTTTAAATTATTCTTACATTTAAAGTAAAGAGAATTTGGTTTCCAGATGTGAATTTCTTCCAGAATTCAAGTTTCAGTTTCAACTTCCCGAATGAATTTAATTTCACTCCTAACAGCAGAATTCAATAAATTTCATGTTAAAAACTTCATTTTCCTGCTTATTTAATAATTTTTTTAATAAACTTCATCAAATCCCGTACTTTTGCCGTCACATTTCGTTGTAATCCTTAAGCAAGCTAACATATATATTACGTAAAACATGGACATACTTTTTTAAATTCAAATTGATTTGAAAAGCTGTCACTGTTACTGGGTAATCGTACAGGGTGATTCATGAAAAATTCCTGATTTGGAAGCTCATTAAAAAACTAGTAAAGATATCATTGCAATATAAATTTTATTGAAAAAGCCATAGACTCAATTTTCATTTCATTTAGTTTAAAGATCATATCGGACAAATGACAGCCCCAATTATCAATTCATCCAATCGATTTTTAAAGTTCCGTTTAACTTGCAGAAGCATATTGACGGAAATGTTGGCGATGGCTTGGCGTATGTTTTTTCTTCAAATGAGGTAGAGTCCTTGCACAACCACTGTAAACAATTGATTTAAGATAACCCCGCAAAAAATCACACGTGAAGCCAAATTAGGGTATCGGGCTGGCCAGAGAAGGGCTGTGGTACTGATCGGTGTGGAGAACGCAGAAACGCCTCTCTAACTCTCTCTATACGTTTTCGGGTGTTGTGGCAGTCCTCTGACCTCCACACTCTCTAGCATTCACACTTCCACTTACCCTAAATGTGTTTTCCCACGTAACAATCGATTTCCGATTAGGAACCCGACCAGAGAGACGAATACGGCACCGAGTATGGAATGCTCGTTGACTAGCGATAATGGAACGGCCATTCGAAAAGAACGCCTAGACAGTCAACGTACGCTGCTCACTTGTCCAATGCATAGTGACAACTCACTAGGCGGGACAAAAAATTTATGCCCTTGCCTTTCATATTTCATACTATCCTGTTCTTTTCCTACAACATCTGGCTGCTTAGTAGGAAATTCAGAACAGGATGCTTCCAAAGCTTCCGTGACTCAACCTATACTCACGTCTTGCCCCCAGGGCGTCTGCAGTATTAGGTTGCCGCGCATTCTAAGCACCTGCCCCAGGTCGGCCACGACGTCCTCCCAAGCTTGTACAGTCTTCAGGTTTACCAACACGCTTCGCTGCAACACATTTGAGGCCGTGTGAGAAAATTTAACATATAAAAATCTTTTAGTATAGAATAATAAACCTTTAACTTGTATGTCAACATGGATAATTTTTCGTCTGAAGAATGCATGCCAACGCAATGTTCCAACGCTGACATTAATTACGACGAATTCAGTTCATCTTTAGAAATATATATTTCAATATTATTGTGTAAATGTAAGACTCGAATAAAACTTTGCACTCATGTTTCTTTCTATAACTTTGAAAAATACTCTTGAGTGTGCATTTTGGATTGGTGGAATCCAAAGAATGCATCAACTATTAAAGAAACAACAACTCGATAAATCATCATACCTCCTGCGTGTGGTCGAGCTGGTTGACGACAGTGATGGTGCGACCGTCCCTAGACCCAGGCTTGCCGCCGCCATTGGACTTATTGCTGTCGGCGCTGCTCTTCTGCACCTCCGCCGTGTCTTCGTTGCGGGCGCGGACTGACCAGTTGGGGGTGTTGCCCGCTCGCCAACTGGGGCGGATCTTGCCATACGCCAGGTTCTGAACCGGAAGAAAAGAATTTTGTGAACTGTTTGTTAATATTAGTACATTGATAAAAAACAGGAATAAAATCAATATTTGCGATATTAAAGCTACGTGATATTTATTTAGGGACTTTTAAGTCGGTCCAATCAGAAGTGGTAGATTCACTTTTGATTATTTCAAATGGATCTGTGAATTGATAAGTGAGATATTTCTCGTATATTCGAATGAATAAGCATATTTAAAGTACTAAAGTAATTTAAGTGAATGTTGAAAGTGAAGTTTCTGGGGATGATAAGTGCTATTGTTAACTGGGGAATAAAAGGAAGAACGGGTAAGATTTCATTGCCATCATTCGAGCTTTAACCCAAAAATTACTGCACATTAATGTTTTTTTTCTTGACCTTTTGTCGCTTAATGACTCACTTTGAGGGTCGCAAGTGACCCATTTGATTGATCAATTGATTTATTATACCAAGTAGCCTACCTGAAGATGTTGATGCTCCGAGTATGAACGCGTTCAAGAACAGACTAGACAAGGCCACGCAGAAGCATATATGCTTAGTCTAGAAATGTCTAGTAAACTACGGAATAACAAAGTCTAGAAACGATTTCAAACCACCGTCCGTTGAAAATATTTGATCAAAAGCATTTTTTTAGATCTGTGAACGTGTCACGAAAAGTACAAGAATCTGCGACAGGCCTATCCAGGCCTATTCTACAACGCCAAAGATACTATTCTATACAACTACTAAACTAAAGTTAATGAGCTACAGTGAGCGAGGAAGATTAATGAAGTGTATCGGGCGTAAGACAAGCGCTGTATTATAGATCGTAAAGAGTGTTGTTATGTATGTTAGCGAGGTAGCTGAGAGATGATAGTTTTTGGTGGGGTATCACGCAAATTAAGTAGCCACTGTGAGGAAAATTTGGGCAATGCGGCCTACATTTTGACGTTAAAATATACAGGCACAAGCAGGCCCCTCTCGCTGCAAGGGGATATATGCGTACCTTGACCGCTCATAGAAGAAAAAGTGATATATGGTCGGCGCTACGTATATATAATTTATTTTTCGCTGATAATAATTTGAGAGAGATGTAATAGATAATTTAAATTTTGGAATGGGATGGACGAGGAACAAATAAAAAAAAAGAAGAGAACCAAACTAGCATCATACTTGCACTCGCGACAGCCTGCGGTCGTAGTTTTACGTTGTTTATCGATCCAAGAGACATTTAAATTTAAATGTTATTGATCATAGAATATCTACTCAGGACACCAGAAGTTAAAATGTACAATAAGCTTGGACTTAAGAAATAAAAAGCAGTACTTATAAAATTAAATTGTAAAACAAACTTACTATGAATTTTCTATCCGAAGCAGCAACGTAAGACCCGCCGTCTTCAAGTTCCTCCAGTCGGTATTTCCTGGAGCCGTCCAAGCCGTAGACGTAGCGAGCTCCTCTGACAAGTCCTGGTGGTGCGGGAGGGTAATGCGTATCCATGATTAATGAAGACGGTTAAGTTAATATATCGTTACTTAAGGATGTTTACGCAGCAGTTAGTAAAGAGAAAATAGAGTTTTTGAGAAGAATATTGCAGAGCTGTCATCCCTCACCGATTCGGTCGGAAATTTTGTCACACAGTCCCTCGAGGTTGAGCACGTCGCGGCCAGGCTTGAAGGTGTAGTCGTAGCCTGGGTAATAGCGATCGCCGTTACGAAACACGCGGATGGTGCGTGGATGCCAAGGGTCTTTTTCCGCCGAGTTCCTTCAAATTAAAACGAAATTTTACCGATTAATGAAGATAATGTCTTCTTTGGAAATTCAGAACAACATTGAGAGGAATAATTTAAAACTTCTAGTATAAAAAGATAGATCTAAGGTTGTTAGCTAAAATGAGCCGGAGTTAGCTAGAAGAAAATCAATTTCAATTTTTAAACATGAATGTTGAGTAATGATTTTTAATCAATGATTCCAATCTTGGTCATTCTCTTCACACGTATTCCTTGAATTGCAAGGTAATCGAAAGAGTTATTTTAAACCTTCCAAAGAAGCCACCATAAGCAATCAATACCTCTTATTATGTAACCTCCAGAACACAAGACCAGTCACCTTTACGACCAGTAAGGCAATCATGGCGCTGACCCGAGACCATCGCTCGCACAAATAACTGTACGCTTCCTGTATCGGGTCAGGCTTAATTTGTGTGGCTGCAGTGAGGGTTAATGTGTGCTTCATTGCACCATAGATCACGGCTGCTGCATACGGTGTACTGGTTGCCCGAAGTGATTGTATATGATGCTGCTGGATATGGTGCTGCTGGATATGGTGCTGCTGGATATGGTGCTGCTGGATATGGTGCTACTGGATATGGTGCGGCTGGATATGATGTAGCTCGAATCAGCTATTTAACGACGGTCCTTCAATGAGATTTCCATTGAGATTAAAAAATTTCACTTCTATTTATTTTCAAATTTGCTAGGTCTTTAAAGCTAAACCCCTCGCGTGCGCTGCATAGTGTACAGGTGTGAGTATTATTATTTATTTGGAAATTTTTTACTTCATATCGAAGCGCTCCGTGTTTCTTAGAAATCTAATGCTGACTTCACACGGTTGTAAATAAGTACATTGAGGCTGAAGGCATGTTTCAGAGAAATATTCAGGTATCTTATCAACTCAGTCCACGGAGTTAAGTTCGCAATCATTGCAGTATATTATAAATCGCAGTATTTATATAAATAACAGGATCGTACAATACAACCAACTTATGATAAAAAGTTCGCCCTTGAACCATGCTTCTTCACAAATAAAATATGCAAAAATTCACGTTTCTTATCTTAATAACAAGACTCTTTTATGCTCCCCCACCTTGACCATAATTGCCCGCTATCTGCTCGCGTTATCGCAAGGTCTTCTTTACCTCACATTTTTATGAGTGAAAATGTGTCTCTAACAACCATGTGACCTTGAATTAATTTTTTTATCCACTGCCGAGCAAATGTTTTATGTTTGTTAAGGTTCCAGGGTACCGCCGTTTGTGGCTGTCAGGAAAGTGACGAGTTGTGTGTGCCGTTGTTTCAACCTCCCTCCTCGACAATCCCCCGCAATACCCTCATATTCCCTCAAACTCAACCTCAATCCTCAACCCCCACCCTCGAACACATTTCGCAACCCTTCTCCTTAATTAACCCCTCTCCGCTACTTCACCTCCTTAACCTCTTCCTCAAACCCCTCCTGGGCGGTACTGGTTACTCCACCAACTTACTGTATAGCGCTGTCAGTTTTGTAGCTTGTCCTTTATCTGATAATTTGCATTTAAGTTTGTGCTGTTTCCAGACACATCGCATAATTTCTCTCTGGATATTTAATTATATAATTTTCTCGAGCAGTGTATATTTTGAATTATTACTCGGAAATTATAACGATTCTTATGGATACGGTAACGATTCTTATTAGCTCCTAAGAATTTCGAAAATTCGCGTCCCTTTCTTTCATTAATTTTACTTTTAGTGATTTTACAGCTAGTATCTACAAGTGATTTAATTTACAAGTGATTTAATTGGCATTTTAACTCATTAATCGTAAATACATTGAATATTTTTTTCTATAAAATATTATTTATTACTTTCCGTTCGCGTGGCTTTGCGATTCTATAGCAGGGATCAATATTCTGGCGCTGTCAAATTTGCATACTAGGCCTACCAGTTATTGCAGTTTGGTTTCATTAATCTTATAAACTTAATTCTGGATGCGCATTGTCTCATATTATGGTTAGCGAACATAAAACTGAATTTTACGACCGCTCTAAGACATAGTTTTTAAATGATTACATTTTAATTGCGATATATAGCAATATTTCTCCCTTACTTGAAGAACTCATGATCATCCAATTGTAGTTCATACTGGATGCGCGAGTCATCCTTGCTCCTGCGCTTGGATGACTTCATCCCGCGCTCGGAGCGCGGTGTGTTGACCGCAGACACCGTCCTGCTGGCCTGCGCTGGCGGCGGCAGGGCGCTTCGTGACACGCTGCGCCGCATCGGGGGAGCTGGGCACGTAGATGGGCATGACCTCAGTGAGATATTATATAGAGGGACGGTCAGAACATCGGGGGAGCTGGGCACGTAGATGGGCATGACCTCAGTGAGATATTATATAGAGGGACGGGCAGAACATCGGGGGAGCTGGGCACGTAGATGGGCATGACCTTAGTGAGACATTATAAATATAAACGACTTCGGGTGAGCTGACAAGTGGATAGACATGACCTCAATGAGATGTTCTAAAAATAAACAAACAAAACGACATCTGAACACTCTTGCCGTTGGGCTATCGTGTCCAAATATTTCACTCTGGCATTTGTTAAGAAGCATAAATTCTCATGCATAGATTTGAGACGTGGGGTTATTAAACTACTACTTCTATGTTGACGATACAATTTTAAACTTTTTAATAATACCACATGACTTTATTCAACACTCGAAGTTGCCTTCTTTCTTCCACTGGAAATATTGTTTAATTTGAAAATTAAACATTATTGTGCAATGAGAAATAGGTACACTTATTTGAAATTAAAAAGAGAGTATTAGCGTAATTGATAAGCTGGAATACATAAAACTGTCACTTGCCCACCAGCAAGACAATAAAGTTTGTGAGGAGTGACAGCTTGTCACTTGCCCACCAGCAAGACAATAAAGTTTATGAGGAGTGTCAGCTTGTCACTTACCCACCAGCAAGACAATAAAGTTCGTGAGGAGTGTCAGCATGTCACTTGCCCACCAGCAAGACAATAAAGCTCTTTAGGGGTGTCAGCTTGTCATTTGCCCACCAGGAAGACAATAAAATTTATGAGGAGTGTCAGCTTGTCACTTGCACACCAGCAGAACAATAAAGTTTGGAAGCAGTGTCAGCTTGTCATTTGCCCACCAGCAAGACAATAAAGTTCGTGAGGAGTGTCAGCTGCCCACCAGCAAGACAATAAAGTTCGTGAGGAGTGTCAGCTTGTCATTTGCCCACCAGCAAGACAATAAAGTTCGTGAGGAGTGTCAGCTTGTCACTTGCCCACTAGCAAGACAATAAAGTTCGTGGGGTGTGTCAGTTTTTAACTCACCGTTGTTGAGAGGCGGTAGCGGCGGGGGGGCTTCGTCGTAGAGGTCCTGTCCCTTGGGCCCCGTAATGTGATACTCATCCGAGTTCTGGAGAAAACGGATGTGAAATAAGATGACTTTTATGAACATAACTTTGAAAAAATACAGATATTTCAGCAATGGTTCTCCATGTTTGACGTGTTATATTCATTGGTAGATATCAGATAACTTCTTGAAGGTAACTTTGAAGTAATCACTGATATTCCAGAAATAATTCTCTACTCTGGATATAATCAGTCAGGTTTGGGATAGCATTTCTCTAGCGCAATCTCTTTCAAGATTGTGAAACGTATAAGGTTGGTCATTTTTTCATGTGGCCAATGATTTTTTATTTTTGAATTAAGTGGCAGCGTTACTTATAATCAAATCACTAGCTGGCATCAATGGCATACGAACGGATTCTTATTGTAAAATATATGTTACTAAGAAACGCTGAACTCAAAGTCAGGAACGTTCGAAGATAGTCAACTGGGTGCAATTGTTGAAGAAAATGTTTGATGATCATGGACAAATAAGAGGAGATTGATTGAACAGATTGTGGGCCTTCTCATCTGAGTAGAAGTAAGATTAGAAGAATTATAATTTAATTTCATAGATAACACAATTCATAGTAGTGAAATAAATGAAAATCAGTGCATGAGCGACTGGGCGGAGAATGGCGTAGGCAACCACTTTGAATGTGCTAGAATTACGAGGCAGCGTTCACATCGGAGAACGCTACTTGTTTACTTAAAGTTTGAGGGTTGGGGAGTGTTCAGGTTAAGTTAATTAAAGGTGTGTTAAAGTTAAAGTATTCAGGTTAATTTAAGAGTGTGGTTAAGTTAAAGTGTTCAGGTTAAGTGAAGTGTAAAAGTGAAATGAGGTGCTCAAGTGAAAGGAATTATAACCAACAGGTATTTCGACGCTTTAAAGTTCATGATTTTTTTCGGATGGGGAGATGGGAATATTTTAGTCCATGTATGGTACAAATGCAGCACACTTTAAGCAATATAATACTAAAGCATACTTGAAAGTATAATAAAAAATTTAATCTGAACCAAATATAAGTGGGATTACACTTATTTCATTGAGTAATTTTGTTACTAACTCTTGTCGTAAAGAATGTGGTTAGAAATGCTCTAATTACTTTTATTTTCATTTGTACTACGCAGTATACTTCTAAATCACTTACGTTTGGCACAAAAATATTTCTGCTCCGAAAAATTAGTATAGTTTTGAAAAACGTTTCTAAAAACGTTTTCACTATTTTATAATCTGTAAAAGCCCCTCAAATTCTTCCACTAACTATGCAGCTAAATAAACTTTGAACGAGATTTAGTAGCTCGATGAGCATTACAATCACCGGTCACGTTGAACTATCTATACGAACAGGGACCCAACTGTTCCCTTCTTTGGTCAAGTTTGCCCCATATAAGCATTATTTTTTTGCCACGAGAGAATACCTATCATATGTTAATTACCAGTAAAATAAAAAATAGCAGGAGCTCAGGCGTGTAAGATTTATTCGGAATTTTGACTCACCACGTTCAGTTTGGGTACTACATATTTTACGTTCGATCGCTTAGGTTTCGGTGACGCCATTCGCTTTGCGCCAATCGCTTTTTTATTGTTCTTCTTTTTCTCTGGAGCCTTGGGATTGTCTATTTCTACTTCTTTCTCATCTAATTCTCTTTCCATTTCGTCTTTCTCACTCCTGTTGTCTTCGTTTTCAGTCAACTGCATGGATTGCGGTCGCTCCTCATCAGGCGATGCTTCTTGCTCCTGCTCTATTTCTGGGGGCGTTTTGACAGCTTCTTCCTCTGCTTCAGTCATTGCTCGCTTTTTATTAGAAAAATTAACAGCTGAGACGTCAACAAAATTTAACGAGTTGCCGATTAATTGACACTCTGACTGAAATGTTCAAATGAAATGATTAGTTTCTATGGCTGAAGAAATTTGAAGAAATTCCAATTTTTTTGAGATTTTCTGCAATCAATTTTGTCCACTTAGAGCGAAAAATCTTCGTTTTACCCTAATTTTTTGGGCCATTCCTGTTGGCACATGGTCCCTCCAAGGTTAAACTTGCATCCTAAAAGAAGGGTAAAATATATTCTTCTATGTGGGTGTAAAATACGAATACCAAGTTACTGCGGCAGCTATAAACTCCATCCTGCTGAAGAAGCCATGTCTCTCAAAGCTCATATTATCCTCAATGACTCAAGGGCCCACGCAAAGTATGGACGTTATCTACGTTACTTACGCTTCCAGGAAACTGTGAGTAAATCACCAACGCTCTTTGTGTAAACAGCCGCCATCAGTCACGACCAGCTACTCCGGCTCACAGTTATCCTCTTCTAAAGTAGAAACTTCCTCTGTTTAGAGCGAGGAGTTCCAGTGAATGGGTGGGTTTAGGGGCTTCATTATTCAAGTCTGGTAATTTGTTACGTAATTTATCAGTCAGCATTACTGTGGAAGGCGAGGATGACCGTGGTCAGGCGCTTGACGTGACCGCCCTAATCTAGGTAATTGGTCCCAACCGCCCGCTGGTGCTGCTCGGTCATGCTTGTGCTTCACACAGAAGCCTCAATGAACAATGCCAGCCCTCTGATGGCAGGCCTTCATGCTAGGAAATTAAATAATACGGGAACCGGAAGTTATCAATGATCGTGGTTCTGCATCCCACGTGCTACGGGTGACTTTTGTTCGAAATATTATTTATGATTTACGAGTACCAATGAATGCAGCAGCTACCAAAGTATTTATTACATGAGAGCTGGTTTTCGATAAAAATGAGACAGTTACTGTGGCTACGAGTTGGAAATTTTTTTTGTTGATAGATTTTTTAATTATAATATTACTTCAGAGTTTTTATAAAACATCAACTATAAAACAACAACTATTTATAAAACAACGTCAGTTATGGAAAGATCGGGTTCCAAAGGCCGGATCCCTTGTGAATCAAGTCACGAAAAATTCAAGAATCGGCAAAAGGCCATGGGCCTATTTCTTCAGTGCCGACACTTCTATTGTATTCTTCTATTCTAACAACTATTTATATTAGTTAGTTTAATTTCAGGTCTAAAATCCGTAGAGTTTTTTCTCCACCTTTCCCGCACAAGTGTTTTGGGAGTTGTCGTTGAGAGGCGAGGGTGCGTTCATGAATTTTTAACGTGATATACCCATTTGCTCATTTATTTTATTTAAATACCGAAATTCAATAACTATTTTTCATAACCCCAAGGTTGAGTGAAGCTAAATTTTTCGAAAAATGAAAAATCTGGATACGAAGGATCAAACAAACCTGGATCGTTAATTACACCTAAAGTAAGCGTTATTGATGGGTAATCTCTGGTTACATGGAAACGGGAATATTTACGCAAATTTTAAGCTAATTTTTCAATTCATTAAGGCGTTCATTCTCGATCGAGAACAAAGTTTTCGCACATTTAGGGAGAAAGTTGGACAACGTTTTTGCATAAGCGATTGATGTTAGGATTTCAATTTGACGCTTGCGTGCAATTTCATAAGTTAAAAAAGTTCTGAGATGAAAACTTCGATGTACGGTCGTTCCTGCTGCTGCCTGATAATTTTTTTCAGAGCAACAGCTCGATCAAAACAATCTCATGAAGTTGGTCATTGCAATCGTTCATTTAGTTTCAAAATTTAATTCCATATCATTGTGAATCTAATTTTCTCACATAATTGAATATATTAGTGATTCTGTGGACGATCGGGTTTATCAGAGATTGAACACGCAATATTGGCGTGCTATATACGAGATCGGAGAATCGTCATTAAAATACCATGCAAAGTAACGCCTTTTCTGTTAAAATAAATTTATCGTCGCGGAAAAATGCTGACAATTTGTTTGTTTAAAAATATTGAATTATTGAAAATTATCTTCGTTATTTCGTCATGAATTCGAGTAGCAAAACTTGCCTAATTCCATTGTAAAATTTAGCCAGTCATTTCATTAATTTTAAAGTGATTTATTAACGTATGAATAAATGTTTAGGTGAAGCATTAGTGTGCATGCACGACAAGATGTAAGTGTGGCAACATAATGCTTATTGCGCCAAGCGAGCTTTACTGCGTATTAGTTTAGTACATTCCAGCGTTTAAATCTGAAGAGGAAATTGATATTTTTACACCGACATTAGTTGTGTCAAAGAAGAAAGCAAGTGTTAAAAGCCGCCCATTAAAAATCTTCCTCTTACCACAAAACGAGAGAAAAACATGTCAATTGAGGTCTCCTGAGCGCGCTTCAATTCAATGAGATTCAGGTCAGTTCTTGCTCTCGATTTCTGAACGGGATTAATTTACAGTGATTTTTAATACAGTTAAGGCATGATTTATTGGGTCCTGACCGCTGAAAAGTAAGGATCTAAGAACGCATCCGTATTGTTTAGAGCTAATTCCTCGTCAACCTCCCGTCACTTCCAACATTCTGTGCCCACTTTTGAATGGATAAATTCCTTATGCCCTATTGTGTTGGCATGGCAAGGAAAAATGGATATGAAATATTATATCATTACTATTTCATCGATGGACACTTTATTTATTCTGAATTATACGCTAAAACATAATCTTCAAAAAACAAAAATCAATGATCAGCTGGAATTATCACAATTTGCGTTGAAATATAATATTTCAATATAATATTTTGGGTTTGTGAGAGATTGAACACGCAATCTTGGCGTGCTATATACGGGATCGGATAGCCATTTACTACAGAGAATCTAGAGAAAGAAATGTGCCTAAAATTCTTGAAGAGAAATGGTTTCCTGATAAACTCACTCCTCACCGTCTCAGCGCTAACTGCATGCAGAGGAGCGACGCCTGTGTTATATAGGCGTGACCTGACGATGTCAGGCCAGGACCTTCACTTCGGTTACGCTCGTCCTTGGCACTTCCCTGTAACTAGTGTGCGACCCGGGGCACTGCCACGGTTTATATGGTGCACCTTCACTACCAGGTCCTTGAGCTTGCTTTTAATTGAGGCTTTGTAAACAACTTATACAGAGCGTTGGATTAGCTTAGCGTTCCGTCAACAACTGGTATTGGTTAAAGAATGACAAATAGTGCATCATCGAAGCACGTGATGCCACAATAATAATAGACTTTCAACAACAGCATTGTACACAGCGTGAAGAGAAATTATTTGTGACCTTGGGGTTACGTGCTCTACAGTTAACGCCTACACTAGGGCATTTAGTGTCAATTATGTTAGGTTTGTTAAAGTTAATGACTGTGCGAATGAGAACTATGCTTCGAACAGCTGCGCGGTGCATTTGCTCGCTGCTTAAAGAAATATTACGAAAAAAAACAGCGCTGGAACTCTCACTTTATATGGTCACAGCACATTGACGCGAACAGATCTCCATGCGTACATTAATTTGAAATTACGCGAAAACCTACGTATATTTATGCCTGCAATTTTCACTAATTTAAAAACCATAAGAAATTTCGCTAGCATATTATCAAGATGCAATGTTAGTGCATGTGAGCTTTCATTCATAATTGAGTACAAGTTTTCTTTGAATACAGGACAGCTTATTAATGAAAATATTCGATAAGCACTGACCTCCCTTATTAGCTTTAAATCACACACAGATAACTTAGTGGGACTTTGACCTTTGACTCAGGTGTATTATATTATATTTGGCTTTAAAAAATGGGCGGATCATTGCTACGCGCATAAAGTGTGTTACTATTCGGACAATGTAGTGCATTATTTTTCCTAGTGTAAACTTTTTTCTGCCAGCGCTGCAGGCGTTCACCACTCGAGATCAAACGTTTGTGGACGCCGATGACTGCTGACAAGGCAAGTGTTGTCGTAATTGTTCCGGTGCTCTCTAGCGCAAACCAAGTTAAATATCGGAATATATAAGTAAAACTGAATATTTAAGTATACATGAACATATAAGTATATATGAATATATAAGTATATTTGAATATATAAGTATATATGAATATATAAGTATATATGAATATTTATGTTTAAATGAATATTTAAATATATCTGAATATTTGAGTAAAATCTGAATATTCAAGTGGAATTTGAATATTCAAGTAAAATATCGGGATATATAAGTAAAATCTGAATATTTAAGTAAATCTGAGTATTTAAGGATAATCGAAATATTTAAGTAAAAACTGAATATTTAAGCAAAATCTGAATATTTCAGCAAAATATCGGAATGTTTAAGAAAAATTTGAATATATAAGTAAACTCTGAATATATAAGTAAAATCTGAATATATAAGTAAAATCTGAATATTTGAGTAAATCCGTATATATGAGTAAAATGTGTTTTTTTTACACCGCCAACACTTTATGCACTCGCTCGCCATTACTCTGTGCCCTGGCCCTTATAGATGACCACCCCGAACGTAACTATACAATATTTATAGACTCCAAAAGCGTAGTGCAGGCCCTGAGAACCTACAACAGCAAACATCCTATCATCTTGGAAATTCTGGCCTGGCTTTTGCGCCTGGTGGAGGCGGGAAAAACGATAAGCATCTGCTGGGTCCCGGGACACGTGGGGTGCGGGGAAACGACAGGGCGGATGAGGCGGCGGTGGGCGCTACCTCGTCGGACACGGCCATTTATAGGGAGGACGTCCCATGTCAAGACCACTACCCCCGCATCAGGACCAGCGTTCACCATATATGGTGCAAGCTGTGGCTGAACACGAGAAACAATAAACTGAGAACAATCAAGGACAGTGTATCAGCATGGAGCTCATCGTACCAGAGATCTCGACAAATGGAGATAGCGCTGTGTAGACTGAGGATTGGCCATACGCGCCTCACTCATGGCTACTTGATTGAGCGGCGTCCTATACCATATTGTGACGACTGCCTGGTACCCCTGACAGTTCTGCATGTCTTGGCGGAGTGCCCTAGCCACAACGACATCCTACAAAATTGCTACCCCAACACATCCGCCCTTGATCATGACGAGATGCTCACTGGAATGCTGCGGGACGACCGGCGAAGTAACTTCGAAACCGATAACCTTAGACGATACCTGATGGAATGCAACCTGCTGCCAGAGATTTAGCATGACCTCGTAACGTCACCGCCTGTCGGTCATATGCACTTGCACCACCGCCTTTCGCGTGACTATAAGTGCACCTTCCCATCACCTAGACCAAGCCTCACTAAACTTATGCTGGAGCTGATAGGTACATGAAGCCGGAGCGGACCCTCACTCCATGAGCAGGGAATCTACCGCCCAGCTCCTGCGCCTAAAATGGATCAGGCTATAAGCCTTGAAGACGGAAGAGACCAAACATCTTTGAAGTAGCTGAAGATCTCACCTCCGGTGCAAAATAGATAGCTATCTGAAGCGCTAGTAAATCCTCTACTACTACTACTACTACTACTACTACTGCTACTACTACTACTACTACTACTACTACTACTACTACTACTACTACTCGCTCGCCATTATGGAATCCTGCTTTACCTTTAATTAATTCCATAACACTCTGAGACTATGTCAATTATTTATCTTCAGGAAGAACTTTTTGAGAAAAATACATTACATACATAGAAATACAAAAAATTTTCTGCATGTTAAAATTCTTACAACACCTGCGCCTACAACACCTGCGTTGTTGTAGGCGCAGTAACGCCGTTACTACTGCGTTGCAGCAGCGCAGTAACGCCGTTACTACTGCGTTGCAGCGGCGCAGTAACGCCGTTACTACTGCGTTGCAGCGGCGCAGTAACGCCGTTACTACTGCGTTGCAGCGGCGCAGTAACGCCGGTACTACTGCGTTGCAGCGGCGCAGTAACGCCGCTCTTCCATGAACCAGTCACCGAAAAGTACGTCATCGATCCCACGTGGCGCTGCTCGCCCGTGTTCAGACACTCCAACATACTTCAGATGGTCTTGTGATCTCACAGTTATTATAAACGTAATAAGTTATCCATGCATTCATACGTGGCGCTCGAATATACTTTAAGCGACAAACTTACGTCGAGCGTATCTATTTTTTCATTAGAGTGCAGCCTCGTGGGTATGTCAGGCAAAAGAACTATTTAATCGATATCATACGATGCTTTGCTTAAAAACAGGGATTGTGCATCACAAATGTGTCATAATGCAAAGTCATCGCGGGATTGATCTGCTATCGGTAGGAAATTACTGTATAATGTAAAGTAAGTCCTGAAATGCTTCATAATAAACATAGCTCATTTTAAATCCAGAAACTATTCTGCATAAATAAACATGCTGTATTATTCCTTCTTAGCAGCACACTAAATTTACCGTTCATCTGGTCTCAGAATAAAACATTTAGACACTACTAACTTTAGGAATATAACGATACGCAAGCTAATGTAAACATTATCCAGAACAACATCCCAATTTTTATTATTGAAGTCCATCACATCTCCACGGCAACCATTTAAGCAACAACATGTGTTGCTCTGTAATTTCATTCGCGTGCCGACCGTGTACAAGAAGATGTATCGAGGAAGTGATTTCGTTTTATATTCATAAATGTCCATCAGCTGGTGATTAGTCAACTGGTGATCAATCAGCTGCTGATCTATTGCGTTTGCATTGATCAGAATATAGTCTTCCCATTCTCGACATCGATCTCTCATGCACTCATCATGAGAACATCTGACATTGATGTTATTCTTCGGCTATTTCTGTTATTCAGTTAACTATTTAGTTTATTTTTTCCCGTGCAATTAATATGCTCGTATCTGAGGCAAGAAGATATTGTTTGCTACACAGGAAAGCGGTGCCTCAGCCGGGCATCGCTTATAGTAACACACCAAGGATGACGAAAGAAATAGCTTGTGAATCATGAATGGTATAGGTACACGTTTCTAATAACTTGCGTCCTGACAGCCTTCCTACTTATGCGCGGAAAACAAAACGTATGTTAGTACGATTATTGAATGTGGACAACGCAAGCACATGCAATCTCTAGAAAAGAACTTACCTTCGACTCAGGGTCTTCTTCCGATTCCATGACTCGGGCTTTTTCGGATTCAGATTTAGAGGGGACGAGCTTTTTAACGCCTTTGGCCTTCATATTATTATGTGTTTCATCTTTGGTTTCGTTTATCGCTTCTGGACCAGAGTCCAAACTGGAAGCATTTTTTCCCGCATTAGATTTTGATTTTATTTGAATGTCAGCCATTTCTGGGGTATCCGGAATTCTGTTTCTACTAGAAAATCCGTTGAACAAAGAACTTTCAGCCACAACTTCGGGTGATACCATAGGTTTCTCGATCCTCTCTTTCTTTTTTGGCTGCGAAACTTTATTGAAAGAGGATGTTTTTTTGCCTCCTGACTTTTGGCTATTCTCGGTCTTGGTTTCCTGTTTTTTGGTTGGATTCTGTGTATTTTTCTTCTTGTTATTTTTTAATGTAGGTAGTTTATTCTTTGCCGTGCTTTGTGTCGGATGCCAAGTGTTGTTCCAGTAGTCGTCCATGCCAATATAGAGCTTCTCATCGTCTTCATCTTCGTCGCTCTCAGGTTTCGTAATTTTGATGATCGGAAGCTCAAGTTTAACAGGGGGATACTGCTGCACTATGGCCTCATTCCCCTTTGCCATTTTGGATTGCACGAGCCCCCCGAATTCATCTGTCAACCGAGAATAATGTGGCTTTAAGATTTCAGGTTCAATATCTTCACTGAAACCTATTTTATACGAATTTTCAGCTGCAACCAATGGATAAATTACAGAATTTATTCGCGATTGATGATTGAAAATTTCCCTGTCGTCTTGAGTCAATGCTGGCTCTAAAAATACCTTTTCCCGCACATCGGTTAATGTATCTTTAGCCGATTGATCATGTCCTGGTTTTAAAGTATGCACTGGTTTTTCAATGCTAAATACTGCATCAACTTTTTCCTGAACCGATCTCAAATTTGATCGATTAGCATTCGATAAAACTGAAGATGGGACTTTCTTATTAAGTTTTCTAGAAGCTTGATGTTTTGGCACATATCCGAGTTTCGATTTCTTTTGATACCTCAGGAGGAACTTGTGTTTTATCAGTTCATTTTCGTTGCCGTTATTGAACTTTACGCGTTTAGGAGTACTCACAAAAATAGACTTTCTGTTCAGAGGCTTTTTATGAAATTTAGGCCCATTTCGAGTATCAGGTTCATCTATATCGAAACGGATTCTCTTCTTATTTATCCGTTTACCCACGTCAGGAAATTCGAGTTCCAAATTTTGCGAATGAGTAATGGATGATTTGAGGTTTTTTGTTGACGATGACTTCAACTTCCTATCTTTCTTTAGAATACTGTTCGTATTTCCTACTTGGGATGATTCAATTCTCGCTTGGTGTCCTGGCAATTTTTTACGACGCTTGATTTCAGTGGGCCTTCGTTTCGCTGACTTTTTTGTCTTTTTAACATCCACGAAGCCTCGCACTATTCTATCAGACGGCGAGTTGATAGGCAGTAACAAAGCTGAAGTGAACCCTAATCCAGTTTGCCTGTTCTTCTTCTGTGCCTGATTCTCTAGAATTTTCCTAGTAAGACTTTCATGGTTATCAACGGATACCCTTATCTCCTCATTAAATAAACTGAATTCTGGAAATTTATTGTTGGATTCGGACAAGTAAGTGGGGGCTGGAGCGATGGTTTCAAAATTCGTAATTGAAGATGTAATGAATTCTGTTTTCTTTTTTTCTTCATTGTTCCACCAAGTGCCGGATGTGAACGACTCCGGTCCATCAGACGGCAGATGATGAACTTGATCTATTAAATTGTGATCATCAGGACTGGAGTTGCGATGCTCATCAAAAGTGTCTTCTGTTGGCGCAAAAGCGTTAGACTCGATGAGTTTATTTGTTGAATCATCAATTAATTTTATTCTTTCTTCGTTCTCCTTCTCTTCGATCAACTTTTGTAAATTATCTCTTAGTTTTTGCCGGTTTCTCTCTCGTCGGGATTCGACTCTCTGCGCGAAAGACGGCTCAAAATGAATAAAAGGATAACGCTCCCTGTTAACGGACAACGCACGAGAGATCACCCGATCATGTTTGGCCGCGCTCGGTTTTGGCAAAGATCTTCCACCTCTAAATTTATGAATCCGTTTTTTCTTTGAATTTACTTCTCCAGTCTTACGGTTTCGAATGCTATCACTTTTACTCCTAAGTATTGGCGGTGCGAGGCTCTCATCTAAATCAGAATCTCTGCCACTCACTCCTTCACTGACACTTGTTGTTGTATTTCCCCGATCAAAAGTACCGTCGTCTGCGTGTGAGGTCGCAAGAGTTTTCGAAGCATCACTGTTCGCCCAGGGCGCGCCGCCTTCACTGCTCGCATTCGTCAGGGCATCGTGCGCACCATCGCTCGCCGAGACACCTGCTGCTTTAGCAACGGCGCTGTTGCTGCTCCCAACAGACTTTCGTTTGCTGGATATCGATCCCATTTCTACCGCCTAAACCTCTTGTTTACGAGTCTGTTTAATAATGTAGAGAAAGCATTTGCTATAATTAAATGATATATTAGCATAGTATTGTTTTTTTAGGCAACAATACGTAGTCGAAAGTGTTGGCTTGAAAAATTAACTTACGGCAGTCAAAGCTAAACGTTTAAATCTGATTTAACTTATGGTTATATATGGTATTATTCATTTTAACAGGATTATTAATTGTAAATAACAAGAAATTATATATGAGATGAAATTTTTCAGAAGTTAACTTTGATTTTTAAAACATTCCACGTGCCCCAATTTCTATATAACCATTCCTCATCTCTAATTTGACATTTATCAAAACATGGAGCAGTGTAAATCATTTCATCAATGGCGAACATTTTAAAATAATTCAAAGTCTTTGAACCCACGACCCTGATATATTTCTTTGCAGCTCGACAAAAATTTTGACATTATTAATTCTAGCATTTTTCCTATGCACGCCCTATGTATATACTATTCGAGCGCTACTAAGCATTGAATCAGCCTACTTTTACTACAGAAATCGTCAGAAGAAAAAAAATCATATTCCCTCAACAATTTGCAGTTTTATAAAAATATTTTGCTTTTATAAGTCCAAATTGTCATATTTTGATGCTCGAAATTATTTGGTATGTTTAGCGCAAAACACACCAATCGAACTTGCTGATGAGCGATTCCAAAGAAGTTTGGTCAGGACGCCCACCAAAAAAAACACTCTTACTAGTGTCTCATGATTAGTTTACAACAACAAAAAATGTGCTTTCGTGTCTCAAGATTAGTTTGGTCTGGACGAACGACCACAAAAACCTTTTTTTACTAGTGTCTCAAGATTCGTTTAGTCAGGGCGACCACTAATAGTACTTGCTGGCTAGTATTTCCACAGGAGTTTCACCAGGATGCCGCTGCTGCGCGACACTCGCTCACAACTTCTACGGAGCCTTCGCTCTGAACAGCCGCGGACTCCAAGCAATCACTCTAGTGAGGGTCGGTGACATCGTAAGAAATCTCATCACTTGATGAGCAATACAAGCCCGATTATTGACTCACTATGATCATTAAGAATATAGAGCAGCTTTGGGTGTTGTAGTGCTTCAGCTTCCTTATACTCGGTAGTAACTCCACTGATATTACGTCACAAAACTTTTTCCGTTTCGTCTCTCATTGAGTAAGTAGTAAGTAGTTTCATTGAAGCTTCAGAAAAAGATTGGGAATAACAGTTAAGCTTGGTTCATACAAATAGAAGGTTTTAGAATAATTAGTGAAGGATTAATTAAAAATTAAGAGTGAAAAAAACTATCACCAGAAAGTCGACAAAATGCTCGAGCAAAGTATACACTGGACAACTGTCGAAACGTAGTTGAGTAATAAATCCAATAAACTTCTTGGACTGATCAGACGCTCCTACGAGTGCCTAGATGCAGAAGCGACGAAGCTGTTATTTGTTGCTGTCGTGCGCCCGAATCCAGGGTTTTGAACCGAAGTGTGGTCACCTATATTTGAAAAAACACAAAAATAGGTCCGAAAGTGTTAAAAGATCTGCAATAAGGATAATTATAGGCTTTAAGGGCAAGTCTTATGAAAAAAGATTGAAGGTTATTATGCTTTCAAGTAAATGCTATCGACATCTGTGTAGGGCCCTTATTGAAGTATACTTATGGTTTATACAAGGCCCCAGAAGGATTACTTAAGTTTGAAACAAGGACAAGGGTCACGGTTAAACGCTAAAAAAACTGTGGAGCAGTTCATCCATGCGACAACATTTATTCTCGATGCGTCTTACCGACATGTGGAATAGCCTCCCTGACGATATTGCTGACGCTCCGAGTATGAACGATTACAAGAATGAACAGGAACAACGATATGCAAGAGTAGGTACATGTTCAGTTTTGAAATGCCTAGCACCCTACGGAACTAGTAAAAGCCCAGTGATGATGTAAACAAACGCCAGTTGATAAGATCTTGTCAAATGACCAGTTTTAGGTATGTGAACGAGCCATGAAAAGAACATCGGTGACAGGCCTAAACAGGATTATTTCTTCAAGGCTGAAGATGCTATGCCAGGGGTTCCCAAACTTTTGAAGGCTGGCGCTTCCTTGGCTCCCCAGTGAATTCCCAGCGCCCCCCACAGACACATATGGAAACTAACACCTCTTTCACGACACTTGGAATGCTGCAATTTGAAAAGAGAACGGTTCAACAGAGATTTGTATTTCACAAATAAAACCAAATTTAGTATGGTCTCTTTGTATAGTATAGAATATATATTCGGCGTTGAAGAATAGGCCTGGAAAGGCCTGTCGCCGATTCTTGTAGTTTTCGTGTCATAAATCTACAAAATTTGGCTTTTTGATCAGATCTTTTCAACGAAAAATGGTTTGAAATCGTGTCAAGAACTTGTTGTTCCGTAGGGTACTATATATATAGGCATTTCAAGACTAAACATATGCTCCTGCATGGTTTTGCCTAATCTGTTCTTGAACGCGTGCATACTCGGAGCGTCAACAATATCTTCAGGTAGGCTGTTCCACATTTCGGGAACTCGAAGCGAGATTAAATGTTGACGCATTGATGAATTACAACGCAGTTTTTTAGTTTATAGCTGTGGCCCCTGGTGTTGGTTGTTTCAAATTCTAGTAATCCTTCTGGGACCTTGTTATTAGAAATTTTACTGATTCATGTCCTATTTAATTGAAATTGTATTCCGTTTTACTGTAACGGAGACCTTAGAGATTAAGTTAGATTAAGTATCGATTTCGAGAGAAATTTTGAAGCATTAGGGCTCAACTTTTGACTGGCTTATATGATACGGAGGTGACACAAATGGTGTTCTAGGCTACTGTATTGCCCGCAGTGACCAGAGTGCAATTTCACTTCCTATCATCCTTTGATTTAATGCATGCTATGGGCCCTTTATCATGATTAATGCATGCCACGTTACTATTTGGTTTGACCCAACTTTAAGACGTCTCTGACGCATTAATTAAACTTGGCAGTATTGCCGGCTTTCGAGCCTATTAACTTTACGCCCTGTGGCATTTAACCCTATTAATTTAGTCACGTTGGGTCTACCAAGTCATTTATTAACATACTAACCATTGCACTCAATTACACTTGCAAACACCTATGTACCTCTAAACGGCTTCCAAGCCACTTCTAAATTTACCCCAGTGGTAATAAATTAGAAGGTTAGTCTCGAAATATTTAATCTTAACTGTGCATAAATTGATCAATATATCTTGACCCTCATAATGATTAATAGCATATGATACAATAACACTTGTTCAAGCAATCTAATCTTGGTTTGTAACTGTTAATTTTGCAGTATAACCTTCGACGCATCTCGTACGTCACATCTCTTTTGCCGTGTGTTTCGTGCCTCCAGTGCAGCCAGCGCGACATTATTTGTGCTGTACGCGTTATTTCATTTGAGGTTAGATTGGGAATATGCGTTCACTGTCAAGTTTTGTACCGCTGAATTGGAATTTCTGAGCATAATTGATAAAATCGATTCTCAAGCTTTGGCATTCATTAAGTAAGGTTTCTTTTTCTAATTTCAGTTTCCTCAACTGCATCCACTGCAGTTCCGGTTTCTACTTCTCTGGATCCGAAGCTTATCCTTTGGAGTTTCAATAAAATTGTTAGCAGTTATGTTTGTATAAATTCCTTACACTTGTATAAACCGAGGGTACACGGTATTTGTATTCTTCAATGAGGTCCCCACGCAGACAACGATAACAGAGACTGGGAAGCTTATAATCTTCAATCTGTCTTCATAAGACTTGCTATTTGAGCCTGTAATTATCCTTGTTGCATGTCTTTGAACACTCTTGACTAATTTTTTGTCCTTTTTAAAATTTCAGTGACCACAAGGCGTTTCTTAACTCTCGGTTCGGGCGCACGACAAGGTTTAAGCAACAGCTTCTTCGCTTCTGCAACTATAGCCTTATAGGTACTCGTGGGAGCGTCTGATCAATCCAAGCAGTATATTGGAATTATTAACTTGCGCTTCATTATGCATAAAAAATTTAGCTCCTTGTCGACACAAACTCCAAGATCCTTTAACACGCAAGACTTCTCTATCATATCTCTCTCGTTGCAACCATTCCTTCTCATGCTGTAAGCTTGCTGTTCATTGTTCTTGCCGAGATAGACTAGCACAATATATTTTTTAGCAGTTTTAACCGTTTCGGCAAAAAAGAATGGTAAATATATTTTCGAAAATTCACACTAGAAGCCCAGGAGGGGTTAAACGAAAAACAGATCTGGGAGGAAAAACCAATCGCTGTGAGCCGTGTGCTACACGTGTTGTGTACAAATCGTCAAACAAACGTTCGAACTTCTGACTGCCGCCCCCTTCTTCTTCACCGCCCCCCCAGATCTTTTCACCGCCCCCAGGGGGGCGATATCGCCTACTTTGAGAACCACTGTGCTATGCTAAGCTTATGGTTGTGAACGCGAGCAACATCTGCGCCAGTCACCCATAGCCTACAAGTTGCACCGCGCTGCTTTATTTACCATCTAAATCTATAAAACGAACCTTTCCTGCCATTCTAGGTCAAGTGCACAACTACAGGCATAGAGGTCACAAGTTCACGAATGAATTGCTGGGCCTTAAACTCAAAATTAAGACCGGGTTCGTTAATGGTTACCCTAGAAATTAGTCTGAATTCTGCGCAATACGGTTAGTACTTCCTGTCATGGGAAATATCGAAGGCGGAGGTAAAATATTAATATTTTAATGATTATTATATTAAACAAACCGTTAAAATTCTGGAACTAATTGGCATATGTTGTGATAAAATATGTAACTATCGTTCGTCTAGTTTCTTTGAAATGTTTCTGACTTGTAACAGTAAATTGCACCGCAAATTACGTCATTAAATCCAAGCCATTGCTTTGAACCGCTGGCATCGATCTATGGGCAAGTCACTTGGTAACCTAGCAACTAACTTTGTATCAGAAATATCTGCCGCATAAATTAATACCGCGACTTTAAAAAAACGGACAGAAAAATCTAAGAATACAAAAAAAAAGCATGAACGCCGCTCAAAATACATATTTCATTTTTTGTGTTATACGTGACGGATGAACTCAACTTGCGTTGATTATCCTCGAGCAGCTGCATGAATGTTCAGCCGAACACTTCACGTGCAATCGGAGTAAATCTTCCGTGCATTGATCGGGCGTAGACACATTGACCTCTTGTCAGCGTGTCATTATTTATATTGGTTTCTTCATAGCTTTGGTTAATAACTTAGCAGGACAAGTAGTAGTCGAAATTTATATTAACACTCATAATAACACGTTCAGATTTTCAAATTCTGCAGCTGACTATAAACAAAAATCAGCTTCAAACATAAAGCTACATTCCGAACATAAAATATTGATTGCTTGTGTAAATTTATTAGTAGTAATATAGGGTTTTTTATCTAGAGTGTAAATGAAAAAGCGTTTCAAAGAAATGATTGAATCATGCCAGAGAGAAATCTATTCAAAGTTACAGTTTGTACCCAATAATAATAAGTCTCCGCCAAGGCATCATAAAATGATCTTGAGTTAATGATGAGCAACTCGGCGACGGCGCAGGCGCGTCGCGGCTTCAGGTTATGTGAAGGATGAGCGGACGGCTGCTGAAGGGGACAAGGGTAATCAGGTATTGTATTGGTCAGGTAAGTATTGTTCAGGTATCACTTAGTGGACAAATCTATTGAAATTTTTTATCTTTGAAAACAAAATATACATAATATTAATGGTAAATAGAAAGTATAGCAAAAATTTATTCCCACTCTCGTATAAGGTAATGAAAGTTTTATAAAACAAATTAATCATTATCCAATAAATCCGAGTGCTCAGTAAAATGAAACGAGGCGAGGTTTAAATTCTAATCACAAGCCATTTTAAAAGAACAGACAAGAATTTTTGCAGCTCACAACTTAGATATATATACATTCAATTGATGAACAAAGTTACAGTAAAAACAAAAAATCACTGGCATCAACCAATAGTGAAAATCAAAACAATCACAGAAAAAATGAATAGTTTAGTAATAAATAACTTACGAAATAGCATGAAGCTTGGTTATCAAGATAGACAATTGATTCTCACCAGAGTGAGGTCATTCTCCTTCCTCGTCATCGTCTTCGCTTATGGCCGTGTGACGAGGTGTGACGACTGCAGCACGAGCGTTACTCCTGCTGCTCGTCGACCGATCACTCGCTGGTTCTTGCCGTGTGGCAGTCTTCTTCAAGTGCTGCAGTCGAGGAGTGCCAACATCATAAATCTGCTGACGTCTCGATGATAACATGTCGCGCACCTTCTGTTCTTCCCTCTCCTTGATGGCGAGCTGGGCTCTGCTCATCTCGTTCTCCATGGCGTGCTTGTGCTCCACTGCGCATCGTTTGCGCTGCGCTCGAGACGCACCGCCTTCGTTAATGCTGAAGAACTTGGCCCCGACCTCCGCAAGCCAGCCTCCCTCGACGGCCGTAACGCACTGCATGAACTCCCGGCTCGTCATGATGAGCTCGTGGTACACGATGTAGTCTGGCGTGTAGCCCATGCCGAAAAGGGCAGACGTCGGGTGTAGGTGACATGGGGTGCCAGTGCGTAGGTTCACGTACTCGCCAATGCCCTTCAGGCGACAAGCTTGGTGGAAATAAGCCGTACAGATGCACTTTCTTATGAGATCCTCGTCGTTACCAGCGCTCACAACGTTGAACTTCTGTTGATCCATGATTTCTTTCAACTGCATTCGAACTTCACGGACTTTTTTCAATGCTTTGAAATGCAAGAAGTGCTTGTTGCACCAGTTCATCGAATACTTCTGCAGTTTCCACTGCCGATATATGTTGAGATAAGTAAGATGATCTGACTCAGGAACCTGGAACTTTTCCCTCATGGCATCGGCCTCTTCCTCGCGCCCCTTTGGTCTGTAGAAGATCGCAGGCACTGAGAGCATAGAAACTATAGTGAGGATATCATCGGAGCAGCCCATGTCCACGCCAGCAAGTAACATTTTTGAAAGCGCTGGGTCCAAAGGGAACTCCACCATGGCCCGACCTAGAGGTGTCAAGCCACCTGTATTATCCAGAGCTCCCAATGTCCATAGCTGGTATTGAGAATTGAGTAAATTATCTTGTGGAGGAGGATCCATGAAATGGAAAGCCATTAGGTCCTCCACGCCGAGACTTTTAAGCAGCAGCACCACATTAGCTAAGTTTGTGCGTTGAATCTCCGGGACAGTTGTAGGCAGAAGTTCGTCTTTGAACTGTCGTTCAGTGTACAGTCTGTAGCACATGCCAGGGCCGGTACGGCCAGCACGACCCATTCTTTGATTGGCATTCGCCTGAGACACGGGGTAAACCTGAAGACCATCCATACCAACTCGAGGATTGAATACCTTCAGCTTGCAGTATCCACAATCAACGACGTACTTGATGCCATCCACAGTCAAGGACGTCTCGGCTATGTTAGTAGCCACCACGCATTTCCGGAGTCCATCTGGAGCTTTCTGGAAAATTTTAGCCTGCAGATCAGAAGGCAACTGAGAGTAAATAGGCAACACGGCCAGTTGAGGCGCATCATCTAAATCTTCGAGCTTTTCTACGAGCAGCTCGCAGGTTACCTCAATGTCTTCCTGACCAGGCATGAAAACAAGGATGTCGCCTTCTTCTGCCTGCAGGTGGATCTGAAGCGCCTGCTTCACAGCGGCCTCTACATAATCTTCTACAACATTTCTTGAGAAAAACATTTCGACTGGAAATGTTCGGCCAGGAATTATGTACACTGGAACATCACCGAAAAATGAAGCAAACTTACCAGAATCCATGGTGGCTGAAGTGACAATGAGGCGGAGATCTTGTCTCCTGGTGATCACCTCGCGGAGCAAACCGAAGAGTACGTCCGTATTCAAGGAGCGTTCATGAGCCTCGTCCATTATTACAGCGCTGTAGTTATCAAGATCTGGTTCCCTAAGTGATTCTCGGAGCAATATACCATCAGTCATGTACTTGATAACGGTTGATTCTGACGTACAGTCTTCGAAACGAATAGAATATCCAACTTGCTCTCCTAGTTCTGTTCCCATTTCGTCAGAAACTCGTTTTGCGACCGACATTGCAGCCACTCGGCGAGGCTGCGTGCAGCCGACCATTCCGTATTTTGTGTAGCCATCCTCGTGTAAGTATTGAGTCAGCTGTGTGGTCTTCCCGCTCCCGGTTTCCCCTACAATGATCACTACAGGATTTTCGCGTATGATTCGAAGTACTTCTTCACGTACAGCGTAAGCTGGCAAATATTTCCTTTGTTGTGACATGGATTTCTTTTTGGAAAACTCACTCGAGGCATGAGAAGTTTCTTTCATGTGATCAGCGAATTTTTGGTCCGCTCTGTAATCAGTTTCTTTTTCTTCAAGTTTTCGGTCATCAGTTTGGTCTTCTTTCTTGATGCCCATTATGTCTCCCAGCTGTGTACCCGCCAGTTCCCATTCTTTCCTCGCAGCTTTGCGTCGTTCTTTCTGTTCTCGATGAGCCCTGACAGCGGCGGAACCCTTCCGCGCTACTATAGCCATGTCTGAAGTCGAATCTTTAACGGGAATAACGGGCTCGGGCTGCTTCGTGAAAACTATTCTGCCGTCCAAGAATGGCGGCACGATGTTGTGAACCAAAATATGCACACGGTTCGTGAATTCTTCTTCAAAGTCTTCATCGTAGTCGAGTTTCTGCACTACTCCACTGGTGAGCATTCTGTTGCGCTCCCACAGTTCATTATCTTTGATGATCTGCCTCTGTTTGGCACTCATTTTTTTAGTTCTTTCAATTTTCTCGGTTTTCTTCTTTTCATATTCAGCTGAGACATCAGCGAAAGGGTTGTTGGTATCATCATAGCCCTGATCCATGTCATACCACTGTCTGTCAAGCCTCTTCTCTTCTTCATCCCATTCGGCTTTTTCTCTCTCGTTTTGTGGATCAAACTTTTCTTCCTCCTCTTCGTTTTTAGTCCAAGAATTGTTTTCGTAAGTTGGTGTTGAAAGTGGAGCGCCATTTTTAGAGAAGAATTTACTGCCGCTCATCCGTTTAGACTTTTGAAACGCTTCTCTGATGTTTGATGCCGTGCTGCGAAGTGACCAGTCTCCGTCTTGCCTTTTCCTGCCAGTTGTCATAGGACTGGTAATATCCCACTGCGAAAGCTTCTTGTTCTCACACTCGTCCTCATCCCAAGAAGTGTTGGATAAACTGTCATATATCCTCGGCGTTCCAGGCTCCTCTGAAAATCTTGGAGTTCTTGCATATCGATCAGACCAATCGCGGCGTTCCGAGGTGTAACGATCAGATCGTCTCGATGCCTCACTCTCACCTTCGTGTCGATCGCGCCTCTCACTATGACCATCATCGTTACGATAACGTCTGTCATTTCGATCACGCCTGTCGCTGCGATCATCGTCATTTCTGCGCCTCTCGCTTCGTCCTGTATGCTCGCCATCACCTCTAGAAACACTCTTATTACTGGAACCCACTCGGCTACTTTGATGTCGGTCGTCGTTATCAGATGTACTTCCTCGAGAATTGACCTTGGTTGATGCACGAACGTATTTGTCTTTGTGGCGACGATATTTCTCTGTGATTCGTTCCCTAGCCTTATAGTTTACACCACCTGTGTACGAAGGAGTTTCATCATACTTGCCGCGAAAATTTTTTGAAGAAATTCTTGCTTTATCTGTACCCTGAGAGCTTGACTTGCTGATGGCTTGTACATCACCTCGTTTGTAACGCTTAACTGCAGTTTCTTCATCATTATCAGAGGAACTTGAACTGCTGGAGTCATGGCGAGCTTTCAATTTCTCTTCGTCGTCTTTAATCTTCCTCTTGAGTGCGGCCAGTTTGTCTAAACCAAGTAGAGATTGTTTCTGTTTGGGTTTGGATGCCTGTTGACCACTGTTCCGGATGATGAGCCCCCCGGGTCCACCACTTGAGCCCTCCAGGATATTAGCCATTCCTGTCAAGATAAAACTTATTAGTCAATGGCCCTTGACATAAACTATTTTAAAAATTTAATTTAAACATCAAAAGTAACAAAATATCTTCTAAATCTGTATAGAGAATTTAAGAGTATAGGTATTAATAAATAACTTTAGTTAGGAATTCAATTCCAAGTTGGAACACCAGAGTTAAGATGGCTGGGAATGTGCCATGTGTACCATGCTGCAGTTAGTGTCATTTCAAGACAGCAAGGGAAAGTTTTTTTACATAAGATGGTGTCAAATGAATTCAAAAGGCACTGCTGAGGGATATGTTGTCTAAAAAAAGGCCCAACTGTGCATCTGCAAAAGCTGCTAACCATGAAGGGAGACAAGTGACACAAGAAAATTTCTGGCACAAATTGGCTCCTAATGGAATTAGCTGCCATGCATAGTTAGCCAAATGACTTCTTCAATGACATCTCCCTTGACACCTCTAGGAATTCATTTAGCACAGTCCCAAGTAAATAAACTAACCCTCTTCATCACTCTCAGCCAACACTCTGCAAAGCTTGATCCCAGTTCTCCGTCATGTAGTGGAAGAAACTGTATCTCACATCCAGCGACCCGTGGTACACGCATCAAGCAGGACAAGTTCTTTCGTGAGGCAGAGCTCATGACCAACTCAGCCATTCATCCATTTCTGGTTGATAAATGAGTACCTGGCTTGCCCCAGGTGTAGTATACAACAAAGGGTGTAATAAAACTATATATGAAGTTTGTTGTTTTTCTGCAGGACATGTAGTGTTCACAGCTTAGCATTGTCTAATGCAAGGAGGTTGAAACAAAAGCTGTTTGCTCCTGCCTACCCATTACACAACTTGTCAATTATGAACCAATCTACATGAGACTATCATGCAGATCAGTACCGTAATTAAGCACTTTATTCAATCATTTGAAAACACTCTACATTGAGCAGCTAGTGCCATAGGGATATACATATAAAACAAAAGTCAAAATTAATTGTTCATTTATCATATGTTGAGGTGCACATCAGCAATTCTCAATGCAGTCTATGGTGTGAAAGCCTCGTTTTTTAATGAAATCAGATGTCCCACTAACTCACTCTCAGAGCACTCATGAAATGTTTAATATTTCTGTATATATATATATATGAAGAAGTACTAAACAAGTACCGTCAACCGGGGCTACTCGGGATGAGCAGGGTAACTTGGGACAGTCCTCCGACATGGTGTAAAACTGTTTTAGTAGCAAAACTAACTGGAATATTGCAAAACTAAATATAGTGGCATAAACGTCAACATTTTTCCTATGTAGTATAAAGGAAATTCAAAAATACTACATTTACTAGCTTTGAAAAATTCCTGAAAAAAATGGTGAAAAACAATATTTTGAAAAGTTACTTCTGCTAAGGTCTGCAGTAAAAAAATATTGGCCGTATTAAAAAATTTCGCTTAGAAAAAAGTGGCAGACAAGTGTCAGCATAAAAACTTTATTTGCGGAATTTAAATACCTCAATCCAAAAAAAATGGCAGCCATTTCCGCACGGCGGGGCTACTCGGGACACCCCCAGGGCTATTTGGGACACCCCCAAAAACGCATTTACAGTAGAACCGTCAACCAGGGCTACTCGGGACGATTTTGAAGGTTTTTCATTCATAACTTCTTACCATGAAACATTTCATAAACAAGTTTAGGCTCATTTCAAAGCTCTTTGCAAGGGCTATCACATGGCTTCTTCAATAAATTCCATGTGCTATTTGTAAGGTGTCAGAAGCAAAAAAAGAGTGTCCCGAGTAGCCCCGTCGAATGGGGCTACTCGGGACACTTGGAATAAAAACTTCATTTTAAAACATTTGAAGCATGCAGAGTGTCCTCATCCATTACTCTGAAGTCCTCTTTCATTGTAGATGATGTAGAGGTAGAATAAATGACATTTTCTGTGATTTTTACTTGTTTTTCCTTTATTGACATGATATTACCATATACATTAATTACCGTATTATTGATGCGATATTACCGTATCCATGAACATGCCATTGAGCATTTACAATGACCTTGTCCACTGCAAGCTTCATATCAGCAGCCTTATATAATTTTTTCTGTATCTGTAAGCTTACAGGACGGCTTGTAATTTCACACCATTTTAATTGGGTTAAGTGAATTTACTATAAAAAATATAACTCAGTACTCACTGCAGTGAGTGACAGAGAGTGCATTTCCTCATGGACAAAAACTTGAGGTCATGGACAGAGAGATGGACAGACAGACAGACAGACGGACAGATGGACATGGCGAGCACAATAGTGCATTTTACCATAAATGAGAAAATGTGCTAAAAAGATCGTGAAAAACATACCTGAAACAGAAAGGAATGTTTTATTGACAACCATCATATGTTTTGGAGAAATAAATCATAGTTTAGGTCAAATACTTTTCATTCTATGAAGCCTGGTGCACAATTCTATATATGAAATTCTATGCACAATTTTGTGATGACCAATGATGCACTAATTTTTTGACAGTGAAATTTTTTTCGCTGAGCCAGGTAAATGTAATCAATATTCTCTGTTTTTAATCAATTTTTTTTAACTGGAGCCTTTGCTAACCGAAGTTCTACTGTAAATGCGTTTTTGGGGGTGTCCCGAATAGCCCCAGGGGGGTGTCCCGAGTAGCCACACTGTGCGGAAATGGCAGCCATTTTTTTTTGATTGAGGTTTGTAAATTCTGCAAATAAAGTTTTCATGCTGACACTTGTCTGGCACTTTTTTCTGAGCAAAATTTTTTAATATGGCAAATATTTTTTTACTACAGACCTTAGCAAAAGTAACTTTTCAAAATATCGTTTTTCACAATTTTTTTCAGGAATTTTTCAAAGCTAGTAAATGTAGTATTTTTTAATTTCCTTTCAGGGTTGGCAATGATTAAATCATGTGATTAAATCACTTGATTTTTTATAAAAAAATCATGATTTTTTTTATTTTTTCAATTTTTTTGATTTTTTCATATATTTAAATATATTGAGTGGCAGTCTTCAATTTATATTGATGTATTGTTATTCAAGGTTTAGTATAAATGTACTATGAATGAAAATTGGTATATAAACTTGTTGCCTTTAGTGTGTATTAGGTTCCAATAAATTGAATGTTTTTGGTACAGAGGCATCAAGAGTGTAATACATTGAATTTACTATGAATGATAAATTGGTATATAAACTTGTTGCCTTTAGTGTGTATTAGGTTCCAATAAATTGAATGTTTTTGGTACAGAGGCATCAAGTGTGCAATATATGGTACGTAGTTAGCAGCTTAGCTAATTCTTATAAGGCTATAAGTAGGCTTTAACTATTTTACTATTGTTATATATTGATTACAATATATAATTTAAATGTGGTTGCTAGCTTATACAGGGTGGGGCAGAACTGATTGAACAGCTTTGAGGCGAAATAAAAGAGTAATGGAGGTACATAAAGAAGAAAGTTTATTTTCCTCAAGATTAGCATAACATACCATTTGAAATACTTATGTTTTGAAAGATGGGGTTCGTTAGCTGTTTGCTATGGGGTTACTTTGTTAGCCATGGGGTTTGTTAGCTGTTTGATGTGTTCAGGAAGATGGGGTTTGTTAGCTGCATCACACTGTTGGAGTCATTCTTGGAAGTTTCCTACAGCACGTTCACACATATGGCAAGGTATGGCCATAACCTCTGCTGCAATAATCCGTTCCCTTAGCTGTGGTAGGGTGTGAGGGCAACTTCTGAACCCCTTTCTTTTAGATGTCCCCAAAGAAAGAAATCGCAAATGCTCAAATCAGGTGACCTCGCAGGCCACTGTAAATCACCCCTCAGAGACACCAGACGTCTGGGAAACATGCGTTTCAAAACATTGAGTGAAATTCGGGCTGTGTGAGCTATAGCCCCATCCTGCTGGAACCACACGTCTCCCAATACTTTATTTCAACAATGTTTTCCATCATGGGCTGCATGAAATTTTGCAACATTGCAGCATAGCGATCGGAATTCACTGTTACAGTTACTACCTCCTCTGAGAACGATTCCAACAGTGTGTTGCAGCTAACGGCCCCCATCTTCCAGATATTGTTTTTAAAACATAATTATTCTAAATGGTGTGTTATGCTAACCTCTAGGAAAATAAACTTTCTTCTTTATGTACCTCCATTACTCTTTTATTTTACCTCAAAACTGCTCAATTGGCTCTGCCCCACCCTGTATATTAAGAAGTTGAGATTGTATTGACCTTTTAGGCAATTAGAAAGATTTTCGACCCTAAAACGAGTATTCTGATTAAAATATTTTTTTTTTCAATCTTTAAATATGTGAATTTAAAACTAGAAACAAAACAATTACAAATATAAGACTATATATAAAATAATTAAATGCAGTGAATGGATATAAAATATTTGAATTGTGCACATGTTTATTTCAAACAGTGTTAGCTTTTCTCATAACTTAAGTCTTGTTTCAAGTCGTATGAGGTTTGTTTGGTTATCGATCAGTTTATGTTTAGTATTGGTTTATTGGTCTGAATTAAATGGGAACAGTGCAGTCAGTCACTCTGTCACTACTAGTTGGTGTGTATAGAGGGTAGAGTCTGGTAGATTTATAGGAAATAAAACTAGTAGATCCATTGATAGTGCTGTGCACTGTGCTATCAGCTACCTATCTGTTATGTGACTCTTCAATGTTTAGAAGATCTGCATTCCCGAAATGTTTTTGTATATTGAAGCCAGTTAAATGGTAAATATTTAGCTCATTATCTTGCTCCATACAAACTTTACAGAGCTAATGAATAGACTTATCAATAATTGTTTACCCAAAAATTCCTAATTGGTAAACACCACCTTGGCCTGTTGGCCATTATTGAAGGCAATAAGTGCCCTTTTTAGCCATCCATCATGATCCATATACTGTTATTGTTAGTAGGCTAATTGCAACATAAAGACAAAAAAGCTGAAAAAATAAAAAAAAAAATCAAATAAATAAAAAAAATCATGAAAAA